TTTTTAACATAAATATTTCCATTTGATGCATTGTACCAGATTTATCCAAAGGCTAATTTCTATGGTACAATATTATATATATATAATATTATATGACACACACGAATCACCCATAGTTAGCAGATCTACACAGGTGGAGCTAGGGAAGGTGGAGGGTTTCTGAAAGCACACAGCAAATACTGCCAGTGCCAAGTATCTGAGTTTAAGCAGCGAGCTGATTGGCATAGGAACCAATCAGCTGTGACCTATAGAGAATGATGTGATTGGAAGCAGATTGAGTTAAAGGGCCTATTAGCCTGCACCATCTAGAGTTTCATGACAGAACTTTGTATTTATGATAATTATAGAGAGCATTTACACCATATAACCAAATAAATGCTTACTGAGTTTAGTTTAGTTTTAGCCTAAAAGTTCATTGTAGATGGTAAAGCGTTCCAGGGAGTAGTTGCTTTCACATAAAAAGCTGATAGTCCAAAAGCAGATGTCACAATGTCTTATGGATGATAATCTACTGGATTTTACAGAGTATTAAGAGCTAAAATAAAGTCACAGAGTACAGAAAGGGCCAAACCATTTAAAATGTTATATACAAGACAATAATAAAAATAAAAAGTCTAAAATTGAGGGTGGTTCATAGTAGACATTTGCAGACAGCCAATGAAGACCATTATGCAAATTTGTTACAAACTTCTAAAGGTTTGTGTGTTATTACTGACTGCTCATTTCAGGCAGCGCAGAATGATTTTTTTCCTAATAGGACAAAATAACTCAATGTATCATTGATCTTTGAAACTTTGCAGACTGTTTTTCAAAAACACAATTACACAATACATGAAAGGTGATATAATAGGGGCACATTAAACTTGACCTCTCAGATAATCAACAGCACAAGTGAAATGATTTGAGGTACAGTACACTGTAAAAATTAATACGACTGAATATGTTAAATCTAATCAATAAAATTGAGGCAACAGATTACAAAGAGTATGAGTTCAGTGATTCAGGTCAAATAATTGTGAAATAATGATTATGTTAAAACACAACCAACACCATCACCTTTTCTATTTGTACATCTGGCTGTTATAATTTACGTATAACAGCCAAAGAACATCTAAAGTGAATGATTTAAGGGTCAAAAGCCCAACTAAAACACACACTGATCACCATAATGGTGACTTAAAAATTACGTTTTTCTCCTTCAGTGATTCTGCCTGTTATCATCAGGTGTCTTCAATGATGGCAATAATAAAAAAAGAGTTCTTAATTCATCTTTGACGTCAGTCTGTTATTCAGATATTTTTGTTTAGAAAAATGTGTAAATTTAACACATTTTAAATGGTTAACTTTTAAGTCATTCATTTGGTTAATTATTACTCAATTCAAATTTTTTTAATTAATTAATAATATTGATTGTAATCTGGTGCCTCAATTTTATTGATTAGATTTAACATATTCAGTCGTATTCATTTTTACAGTGCTGTAGTACGAATAATGTAAATAATCAGCCGGGACCGGTTGTCTGTGATGCTGTTTCGTAACGACCAAACTCTCTGAACGTGTCATAGTTGTAAGTAATGGCTGATGATGGTTTGTGTGTAATTGTCTCTGGGGTAATGGCTGGGGCGTGATGCAGTCATGAAATCAGACGCATTCCTGTGGTCTGAGGTTTGGGGGAAAAGAGAGAGACCCTCCACAGTAATCGCACTGCAGTCAACACAGTTTCAAACTTGAAGTGCACACTGTCTGTCCTAACAACAACACTAACATTTATCTCAGTCTTTCCAGCGCTGATACTCACGGCTATCAGTGGGGCCCCCGGGACCCCGGCTCCAGGGAAAGAGCTGTAAAGTCTGGCTTAGGCTTTTGATGAAAGTTTTGTTAGGCTTTGGTCTGCAGAACACTGTTCAGTTCAGTTTCTCGCAAGTCTCTTTGGTTATGATGTGTCTACCAGGAAGATAAATGCATGTAAATTAGATTCTGAGTAAAGTGTGGGTGGTGTTTGCCCATGGAAAACAGTCTGCATCAATGCTAGGGTGGTTGTTAGGATGTTGCCTTGTTGGCTTTTCCAAAGCGTTTCCAATTAGGGCTATGAGCAAAAATGATAATATCTGATAAATACTGTGATTTTTGCATAATTTGCATAATTTTGCCCAAAATTTACATAATCAAGGCGCACATAACAAAGCTCAATGAGGTTTGTTGTCGCGCATCAAGCAGGTTCAGTTGAGCTTCTGTTTGTAAAAGCCTAAATTCAATCTGTTCATCATATAAAGCGATCGAGAATTTGGACTAAACCGCTCAATTCATATGGATTAGTTTTACGATCTCCTTAGGAACTTTTTGAAGCATCAAAGTGGTAGTTGTGTAGCTGTCAATGGAGGGACAGAAATAGCTCATGTTTCCTATGAGTGAAAATCTTACGGGTTTGGAACGACATGAGAGTAAATTATGACAGAATTTTCTTTTTTGGATGTACTATCCATTTAATTTAATCCAACTAATGATAGGGTTAGAGGTTTGTCTAAACGTCTAACTCCTAAATATGAGCAATAATAGTGATGCTTGTGCTTTATTATTAATGCTATGAAAAATTATATTATGTATCATTATATACACACACATGCATGTATATATTTAAGAAAATGTGTTATTCATATATAAAATATTTATATTCATATATAATATAGATTATGTATTTATATATATATATATATATATATATATATATATATATATATATATATACAGTATTTACGTGCAAATGTTTCTTAAATATATACATGCATACATATGTATTTATATATAAAATAATAATACACAGCAAACACACATATATTATGTAAACACAAACTTTTATTTTGGATGTGATTAATCGCAATTAATCTTTGCACAGCCCTAATATATATATATGTAATGTATATATGAAGAGTTCAGATGCAAAAGCCTCTAAGTGCCATTTGAAATTTTCTTCTAGAATGATCATTTTTATCAAGCTTGTATATTTAAGTTCAGTGATTTCACTTAAATGGCAATGATAATTACCTATTAATTGTTATTTAAGTGAAATTACTGAACTTAAATAAACAAGTTTGATAAAAATCATCATTAAAGAAGAAAATTTCAAATGGCATTTAGAGGCTTTTGCATCTGAACTCTTCATATGTGTGTATATGTATATGTATATATATATATATATATATATGTGTGTGTGTGTGTGTGTGTGTGTGTGTATATATATATATATATATATATATATCGTGTGGTACTTCAAGTTCGCGCAAGCATGATAACTGTAATGATAACGACGATAAAGATAGAGTTCTAAAAATCGTCTAAAAAATATAAAAGTCCACGATAAAGGCACAAAGAAAACAATATCGTTGGAATTACTTTCAGAATTACATTTTTCTTCCAGATGATAACTGATAAAACCCCTGACAGCCAATTAGAATCCACCCTATATATAATAAAATATATATACATGTACTAACTTGTATTCACAAAATGCACAATGATATGCCATGCATGAGTAACTGCAGGCAATAAAACATTATTGTTCACAGTTGTAATAATGGCATGGTATGTTATGCAACAGTTCTTGTTTTTACAATTGGAGTCTCAGTGATGCTGAGTGTTTTAAGAAAGAGCCTCTTTTATTCATCATTATTGAGAGTCCCACCCTGAGTGAGCTGGAATTCTCAGTCATTCCCGGCCACATCTGCTCTGGCATAGTTTGCATAGTTAGCATAGCAGTGATGCTAATATGACCTGTGGGTTCCCACAGGACTCGGAAAACCCAGAGGATTGTGCAGCTGCGCCCTGCATGAGAGCGTCAGGGTGCCGATTTGTATTGAATTTACAGTCGGTTCTCCGACATGTTTTAAACGTCGGTCAGTGAGTGCAAATGGGATCCCAGTTAAAACTCGAACATGCTTTTAAAAAAGCACTGAAAATCAGTGTGTCATGCTCCCAAGGCTGAATTTATTTGATCAAAAATACAGGAAAAAACAGTGAAATATTATTACAATTGTATTTTCTATTTTATTATATTTTAAAGTGTAATTTATTCCTGTGATGCAAAGCTGAATTTTCAGCATCATTACTCCAGTCACATGATGCTCCTCAAGAAACATGTTTTATTATTATCCAGGAAAACAGTTGTGCTGCTTGATATAACAAAAGTATTCTCAATTAATCAATTGAATGTGTCCTTTCTGAATAAAATGATTAAATTATTTTCTTTTTTTAAAAGCGGACCTCAAATTTTTTGTAATGGTTAATATTTTGGTTTACAAAAGGTTTCAATGTGTACACTTTCATGTATTTCTCTTTCACTTCTTGTGACCGTTATATTGACTGGAACATTAGTAGATGTTGCATTACTGTTAGAGCCCGACCGATAAAGGATTTTGAAGGCCGATACCGATACAAATATTTTGGGGTTTTAAAATCCGATATTCCGATATATCGGCTGATATTTTTTATTTTTTGTTAAATATTGTTGGATTTCACACACGTGTAAAAGAAAAGCTAACTTTTCTGCACAAGATACGTTTGATACTTTTTCTCTATATCTAAATGTTCACTCCTCGCAAGTATAACTTATATTTTACAATGCAGGGACTGTAACTAAAGATATGCTAGCTATAAATACATTAATCATTACTTTATTCAGGCAGAAAAAGTTCATTGTGGTTTCCAAGCTCATTAATGTTAACGTTAGCGGCCTTCCACTGATGATAGTGGCATTGTGGTTAGCTAGTCTATGATGAGCCATAATTTAGCAATAGATGACATCATACTACAAATTGTAAAACATACATTTTCAATATAACAGGCCAAGGAGAGATGATTGAAGCGTGTTTCGTCCGTTTTTATTTTTATTTTTTAAATATTCATTTATCGGCCATTATAACTGCCGATACCGATATTTTGGAAAATGCCTAATATCGGCCGATAATATCGGTCTGGCTCTAATTAGTGTTGTTTGTGTTCTTCAGAGATGTAGTCTGCACTCCGGTCTGTTGGCAGACTCTGAGGTCTCACTATGCTGCTTTATCTGCTGCTGGCCATCTTACAAACCAACATCTATGGCCAGATAGACCCAGGTAATGTTACATGCACACCTACACAAACATTCATACAGACAGGACCAAAACATTGACTTTCTCATGGTGTCCTTCAGCTCACTGTCGTTACCCTCTCGGTATGGAGGACGGGAGGATCAAAAACGACGACATCACTGCCTCCAGCCAGTGGTATGAAACCACGGGCCCTCAGTATGCAAGGTAATATGACAGACTACACTGAAGTGTAGTAGTCGATATGGCTGTAAGATATATCAAAGTAAAATCAATATGGCCTAGTGCGATTGTCATAGAGAGCCTAAGTCCCTCCCCTTCCGGTCGACCACCATGGGACCTTATTTCGGAAAAATATTGTATGGTAGTCAATGGCGAGAGACAACAAATATTTTGATCTGGTTTGAATTGTGCCCTGAATTACACACATGATGTTTGTCAATTTAAAAAATAAATTTTAAAGTAAAGAAAGTCGCCGTTTGCTGTAAAACCGTTGAGGTATAAGACTGTGAAAATACGTAATTATAAAGACTACAAACCCCAAAGGCGCACATTTTCTCTCAATGAATGAAGCTAACTTTACTGAGGCTAATGTCTGTCATTGTTTCTATAGTCTTGCGTTATAAACTTACCGTTACACCGTCATGCCTGGGTGTTTTGTACCAGACTGCACACACACGAGCAGAGGATCTCGCCCTGTTTCGCTTCCCGGGAGATGTAGTTCATTGAGCGATTTTCACATAAAACTAAAGGTTACTCTTCTGTTTTATAACAAACGGCGACGTTTTTGATTTTCAGAATTATTTTTTAATTTGACAAACATCATGTGTAATTCAGGGCATAGTTCTGACGGAATAAAAAGATAAGTTATCTCTCGGTAGCCATTGACTACCACACATATTTTTTCCGAAATAAGGTCCCATGAGCCGGAAGTGGAGGGGCGGGACTTAGGCTCTCTATATCGTGAAGGCTGCAATTTAAAGGGTAATTAAACCCTAAACCAACTTTTTTTAGTTAATGATCTGTAAGAATGGGGCTTTTTAAAAGCTGATCATTGATTTAAGTAACTTTTTTAACATTTGGATAAAAAGTGTTTTATTTCTACAATATATGGTGTAAAAAATGTCTTAGTGCTGCCCTCTTCAGGTTGAACGGTGGCTACTGCAGTTGAATTTTCCTATTGGATGTTCCACACTTCGGTTTCAGCTCACCACGCCCTTGGTACGAGCGACCACACACTCGGCAGTTTAAAAACCATCTTATTTCGTCAAAACCACTGCGAGTCAAGAGTGGGAATTACAAGTTTTGAAAACGATCAGGATAGGAGAGTATTGTAGCATCTTTAGCATAGCATTTATATAGTTATTTATATAGTTATTTAGTTAGTTAGTAAGTAGCATAGTACAGTTTGGATAACTTCAAGTTAGCATAGATTTATCAGTGTTTAGTACCGTGGTCAGTAGGGATGCACGATATATCGGCCACATTATCGGTATCGGCCGATAAATGATCATTTTTAATGTTATCATTATCGGCCCAACAGGAACATTTAGCCGATATCTAAAAGCCGATAACTAATGTATTATTTCCTTCAGCTGAGGCACTTTAGATGTGCACTGTTCAACATGATGCTTTTAAATTGCTTGAAATATGATTGAAATCACTTTAAAAAAGGAAAATCCAGTTAAAGTGCAAAATGTGCAGCGCAAGTCTTGTCATATCGGCTACACAATATTAAAATAAGAACATCATAATTGTGTTTGTATCTTGACTTTTAATGAGGAGAATTTTTTTTATAATCAGGCTTTCAAAAATTGTCAAAAAAAATTTGAATTTAGATTTATCGGCCAATATATCGGTTATCGGCTTTCAAATATAAAGAATTATCGGTTATCGGTATCGACCAAAATTGTCATATCGGTGCATCCCTAGTCGTCAGGATGGTTACAGGTTAACGTAACGGTGCAGAATTTCTCAAATAACATTTATTTACCTAATAAAGTTTACCTCATAAAATACTATGAACAATGACAGATGTTGATTTTTGGCAAGGAAAAAGCCATTTGTTTGCTTGTGATAAATAAACATGAATGAATCAAGAGAGATACGTACGCTTGTGTGTCTGTGTTTATCTGCTAACGTTACAGCCGCGTCTCCGGTTTCCGCCATTTTCAAATATAACGGCTATCTAACTCCTCTCCCGTGGCATCATGGGATAGTAAAGTGTCCATCGTATGCGCATTTCAGAATCTCGCCGGAAGTAGTAGGTCATCCAGGTACTTTTCGCCCACTGTTTTTTGAATTCTATGATTTCGGACATACTACTCTGCTCGCGTACTGTTTTTTGCATACTACATAGTAGGAAAGTATTCGATTTCGATATCACTTGCAATCACCAATAAAATCACAGAACTCACTCTAGAATGATTCATTCTTTCCAAATCGAACTACTCGAGTCATTTGGTGAAACTTCACATCACAATATTTTCTCGAATATTGTGCAGCTCTAGTAGTAAATATAGCTGTGGAGTGTTTTTATAGTGCATCAAGCTCATTTATTGCTAAAGATTAAGGTAAAATTAGGTTTCTTTGTGATCTGACCTGTTTAAATAAAGCTCCAGGCCTCTTAGAGTGCGTAATGACCGTTTATCACTTGCATCTGTGTGTTGTTGCGTCAGGTTAAACCGTGAGGAAGGGGACGGCGCCTGGTGTCCTGCTGGTCAACTGCAACCCTCAGATGTTCAGTATCTTCAGATTGACCTTCGTCAGCTCATCTTCCTCACCGTGGTTGCTACGCAGGGTCGCTATGCTCGCAGCTCCGGCAACGAGTATGCACGCAAGTACCGTCTGGAGTACAGTCGCGATGGACGTCGCTGGATCTCCTGGAGAAACCGCCTTGGCATTGAGGTAGGATGTGTTTTATAGAGACTTTATATGAGGGACTATATAATCCGATTTTATATAAATGACCTGAATGAACAGATGTTTTGGTGCTAAACTAATATTAGCAAATGTATAAGTTAAATCAGAAAGCAATTATGCTGTACACTGCAGTTGGGGTCGTAAGATTTTTAAAAAGTTTTGAAAAAAAGTCTCTTCTGCTCATTGCATGCATTTGATGTAAAATGCAGTAAATTGCATTTCCATTTTGATCAACTTTTTTGTATTCTAATGTTTTAAAATGCAATTTATTCCTGTGATAACAAAGCTGAATTTTCAGAGGCCATTATTTGGGGAAACCATGATGCATTTTTTACATTTTTGATGGGAATAATTCTGATTTGATTGTATTCAGGATTGAAGAGAACGTCATTATAAATAAACATTATTAATACCTTTACTGTCACTGAATAAAATATACATTTTTGGAAGAAAAAAAAGTAGTGTATATAGTAGGGCTGACATTGTTTGATTTTTGAGACATACGTGTTTAGTGAATCGATTGTAAAATTGATTTTCCAACACCAAATATAGGAACTAAACAGGTCTTGTCTACTTGTGTTTGTGTGCCATATGAATAATATATATGTGCCTTATACATGGAATCAGAGTGCCTAATGTATTTAGTAAATGGAAAATCTCTACAGCAAAAGGCCAACCACTACATGCATTCGGTTTGTTTCTACCATTTATTAGTAATGATTTACACAGTTTGTTTACTACTTACTATATACCTGAGCATTCACTATTGTGCAATATAGCATACAGAAGGTGATGGACATTTTCGGTGGAAAGAAATGCTGCATTTTATCATTTAAACATGTGACTTTTCATGAAAAATTCAATATTCCAAGATCGCTGCCACTATATGACGTCATAATATGCAAATTAGATGGGAAAATATAATCATTACATAAACTTTGGGTCATTTTTAATATTTGTCTAATTTACAAAAAGTCTCTATCTTTTATCACTTTTAAGATACAGCCTTTTGATATTAAGATGTCAAAATCGGTACGTTTTTCGTAAAAACCTCTGCCGTCTAAAGGGTTAACACCCTCCAACCCGCCAAATGCAGGTAAAAATGAACATTTTGGCGGGTGACGCTTTCAAATCATGAGCCAATCTTGCTTGTTTCTATGTTTACTCAGTTTGCTAGGGAAGTTCGTGTTAGCCAAATCTGCGCAGATTTAGCGCAAATTCGCAACTCGTGAGTCCTCATGATATATTAAACACAGCATATTACGCAGAGTCTGCTCATTTCTGCCTTACTTGAACACAGAGTCACTACGCAACAAATAGCGGCGCGCTTGTTCACTTGAATTGAAGTAATAGCGAATATTAAAAGGCATTTGGTTAACAGAAAATACATTGTTTTGTATTTTCCAACATCCTACATGTTCTGTGTCCTGTATTGATCTGTCCACCTAAAACACATTTTGGGTAAAAAAAAATAAAATAAAAAGGCCATTAAAATCGATTCCTTATTTTCGTTTTCTAAAACTTGTGTTGGTCGGTTTTTATCGATTGTGGAATCGATTTTTGATCATAAAGTGACAGCCTTAGTATATAGTGCATTATACTGTATGTGCAGATGAAACTACAATTTTCCATCAAAGTAACCAATAATCATAGTAATTATATTCTCACACTATTTTGTTTATTGAATAGTAAAGCTTTTGCATGAATTATGTTTTGGTGTAAATGTTGTCATGTAAGCAAAGCAAGTTTGGACACTTTACCATCCCATGATGCCACGGGAGAGTCACATGACAGTGACAACATGGCGGATGTACTAAATCCGAATTTCGTTCATACTACACACTAGAATAGAAAAAAAAAAATTATGTTTGTGAAGAAAGTTTCAAATCAAAGTTAGTACCTACTATACAGTAGCGGTTTGGGATGCACCGCATGTTCATGCCTTGTACCTTATTGATGAACTAATTTCTTCTGTACTCCAGATTATAATGGGAAATATAAACACCTACGACTCCGTGGTGAGTGACCTCCATCCTCCCATCATCACTCGGTTCTTGCGCTTGATTCCTGTCACGGATGCCATACACACTGTGTGTATGAGAGTGGAGCTGTTTGGATGTGCCTGGCAGGGTGAGTCATGAAAATTACCCATAATTAAAGGGATAGCTCACTTTGAAATTAATTTTTGGTATGTTTTAGCTTACCTCAAGGGCATCCAAGACGTAGGTGTCTTTGTTTCCGCAGTATTTTCAATTTTGACATTTTTCAGTCAAACCGTTGTTGTCTGTCAGTCATACACTGGAGGCAAAGGGGGTCCACCAAAAATCATGCACAGAGAAGTCCAAATTAAACATGACTTAATGACTCGTACATGTAAGTACACATTGATGGCCTAAGACACGAAACGAGCGGTTTTTGTGAGAAAACGAACAATATTTATATCGTTTTTACCTCGTGTAATGCAAGTGTTCTGAATCAGTTGTTCAATGTCCAACTGAACCGAACTGAATCAGACCGACTGCATGCGCAGACCGAAGCGCCCGTGCCGTCAAATCATTTTGTCAAGGCTATGATTACAAGATGTAAAAACGATATAAATACTGTTTCGTTTTCTCACAAAAAACGCTCGTTTCGTGTCTTAGGCCATCAATGTGTACTTACATTTACGAGTCAATAAATCATGTTTAATTTGGACTTCTCTGTGCGTACTTTTTGGTGGACCCCCTTTGCCTCCAGTGTATGACTGATAGACAACAACGGTTTGACCGAAAAATGTGAAAATTGAAAATACTGTGGAAACAAAGACACCTACTGTACATCTTGGATCCCCTTGAGGTAAGCCAAAACATATCAAAAATTAATTTCAAAGTGAACTATCCCTTTAATACTATATCATTTTTTTTTTTACAAATATCATTTTATTTATCAGTGCCTTCTATTAAAGGGTTAGTTCAGCTGTATTGCCATTTATGAGTAAAATAAAGCCTGTAGTAAACATAACTTGACGACACTTTGACGTTTTGTTCTACAACACAAACTGCACACGCTCACAACCCAATCTGTCTTATGTAGTTACTTGTTAGAAGCATGTGTTTTCAAAAATAAACATGACTGCTTCAAAATGTGCATTTTCACAATGGGTGAGCAGTTTATGTTGTAGAACAAAACGTCAAAGTATTGTCAAGTTATGTTTACTGCAGACTAAATAAAACCCCATAGGAAAATCTCAAGGGAACCAGTGGCAAATAGTCTGGTTCTGACGTCAAACCTGCACCACTGTATTTTAATCTTGAAAACAAGAACCAATTCAATTCAAACGACTTTATTTATCCCCATAGGGCAATTCAGTTTTAGCCTTCCACAACAATCAATCAAACATTCAGAAACACTGTCAGTGATATTGCATTTGGGCACCAGAACAAAACAGTAAATACACCGATCTTAATACATGAACTGAGCAGGGACCCAAGTTCAAGAAGATAAATACATAAATAGATAATAATAATAAATAAATACATACATACAAGGTATATGATTCCTGGCACATGACTAGTTGCCACTGTCAGCAGTATTTAACGAACCAATAAGGTTTATATGTGAATAAAACTGTAAGTGAAATCTGTTCATCATATACACTAAAGCAGTCGCGTCTCTTCAGAAGACTCGGATTAAATCGTTCCATCCATATGGATGTATTTTACGATCTGAGTTTTGAACGGTCATAGTTTTGGGTGAATAGACTGTCAATGGAGGGGCAGAAATCTCTCAGACGTCATTCAAAATATCTTCATTTGTATTTCCGAAGATCAGTGACATGAGGGTGAGTAAATGATGACAGAAGTTTCATTTTTTGAGTGAACTGTCCCTTAAACTTTACATTCATAATAATCCGGTTGTGCACAAGCTTATAGTCGTGAGTTACGCATGATCTCATGCTGTTCATGCTAATACAGTTTCATGCTTGCATATGGGCTACAGACTGAAGCCGATAGTTTTGGCAGTCACGTTCGAGCAGCTGTGGTCTGTGTGGATTTCCCCCCCAGTGTCTGATTTGCTGCAAGTTAGTTTCATTTGAACTCAATTGCTCTAGTGCCTTAAACGTGAGCCAAGAGAAATGAGTAATTACATTCTGGAGCTAAAGCAATATTGAAGTTTGGGACCTCTCTGTTTGTCTTCCTCCTGGAGTGCAGATGGCCTGACGGCGTACAGCTCTCCGGAGGGCCAGACCATGATGGCTCCTGGCTATCCCATCACACCTCTCAATGACTCGACGTACGACGGGTCCCTGGAACGCAGGTGAACGGCTTATCTGATGCTGAAGGGTTCAAAGAATATGTTTAGCTTTTAGGGATGCACTGAATACCAATTAGCCGATAAATATTTATATCATGTAATGGCGGACAATCGATAAATTAAAATTTATTTTCAAATGAGTTTAAATTGAGTAAACTATATGGTTTTGGCTAAATAAATATAAAACATGAAAAACTAAAATCTGTCATTTTAAATGACGTAGCCCTCAAACCGTATTCACTTTATAGCCCTTAATCCTGTAATTGTGGACAAATGTGGGCACGGAGGACTCGAATTTTTATTTATTATAAATGTTATATCACTGTCTTCGATAAAGTTTTGTCTATCCATTTATGGTGTATTTTTTTATTTTGGGGGTATTTTTGAATTTATTTACTTCAAAAAGTACCATATTTGCTATGTAAATTATGCTTATTTTTATGTTTTATTTATTTATTTATTTTTAACTACATTAAAATATCATTCCAAAAAGTTCTTAGAGCTAAAACCCAAAGACGAAGTGACTTTGCTGTCACCTGGTATCTTATTTTGGCTTATTTTAACTGTTTTTCCCATTCATTTCTATGGGTGCCCATTTTTGACCCAAAAATAAGATTAAGGAGTTTTTTTCACCCACTTAAAGGGTTAGTTCACCCAAAAATGAAAATTCTGTCAGTATTTACTCACCCTCATGTTGTTCCAACCCCGTAAGACCTTCGTTCATCTTCGGAAAACGAATTAAGATATTTAAGATATTAAAATCGCTCCTGCATACAGTCCATAGGCTTCTTGAGGGACTGGCTCTTGCCGTCCCCGAAAAGTCATAAAAGACATCGTTAAAATAGTCCAAGTGACTACAGGGGCTCAATCTTAAGTTTATCAAACGATGAGAACACTTTTGTGCGCAAAAAAACAACAAAAATAACGACTTTATTTCAACTATTCGTTTATTTCTCCCTCTGCGCGAGTCAGCTAACTAGTTTAATAGCGTAAGCTTCTGTTATTGTACGTCACACGCATCACACACACATGACCAGCGTCGACCAATAGTGAGCCTACGTGTGACGTAGCTCTACGCAATCACACTACGTTAACGGACTATAGGCTTATGGAGAAGGAAGTGAATAGTTGAAATAAAGTCGTTATTTTTGTTGTTTTTTTTGCGCACAAAAGTGTTCTCATCGTTTGATAAACTTAAGATTGAGCCCCTGTAGTCACTTGGACTATTTTAACGATGTCTTTTATGACTTTTCGGGGACGGCAAGAGCCAGTCCCTCAAGAAGCCTATGGACTGTATGCAGGAGCGATTTTAATATCCTAAATATCTTAATTTGTGTTCCGAAGATGAACGAAGGTCTTACGGGGTTGGAACAACATGAGGGTGAGTAAATACTGACAGAATTTTCATTTTTGGGTGAACTAACCCTTTAACATTGTAGAATTGAGTCAAAAAAAAAATTGTGTGTTCAGGAGGCAAACTTAGGAAAATTAGCCAAGTCTTGTACCGCTCAGATCAAGGGAAGTATTTTTTAAAAATAAATCAAAACTATTTTGCCCACATTTGTCCAGAATACGGTTTTAGGGTTAAGTAGGCACCACACCATTATAATGTTCAGAAAGATAAATGAATATTAATTTTGAGATTTGCTAAACATTACATTTAACAATGTTTTTAAAAGATTAATTTTAAGCATGTTTTAGTTGATGGAGAAAGTAATCTACATTTAAAACAATAGCAATAAGTTTGTGGTTAGTATGTTTTGTTTTTGAAATACTTTTATTCAGCAAGGATGCATTAAATGCAATGCTGTTCTTTTGAAGTTTTTTATTCATCAAATAATCCTTTTAAATAAAAAATATGTTTTATTAAAAAAAAATATACTATTAATTACAAAAATATTGTTTTCAACATTGATAATAGGAAATGTTTCTTGAGCAGCAAATCAGCATGTTAGAATGATTTCTGAAGGATCATGTGGCACTGAAGACTGGAGTAATGATGCTGAAAATACAGCTTTAATCACAGGAATACATTACATTTTAAAATATATTAAAATAGAAAACAGCTATTTTAAATTTTAATAATATTTTAATAATATTTTACAATTCTGCTGTTTTCACTTTATTGTTGATGAAATAAGTGCAGCCTTAAAAGACATTAAAAATCAATTAAATGTCTAATACCGGATTACATTTCAATAATAATAATTTAAAAAAAAAAACGTATATTCCATTATTAAATGATTTGAAGAAAGAATGTCAAACAGGTTTGGAACAACACGCGTAAATACTAATGGGTGAACGATCCTTTTAAAAAAGCTTTATAACATACATAGTTTGGTGTTTGTCTGTTTCTTCACATTCGTTTTACATCCTCTTGCCGATTCTAGCCAACAGTTTTCAGACTCATTTTGTGGGAGAACAATCAAGATTGTTTTTAAGTTCTAGAATGAATGCTAATCACTCGTCGCCCAAAGCTAAGTGCTTCCTTTCTGTCTCTGTTCCCACAGGAAGCTGTCTTGGGGGCTGGGTCAGCTGACGGATGGTGTGATTGGTCAGGATGACTTTGAACAGAGAAGGCAGTACCGGTTGTGGCCCGGATATGACTACGTGGGCTGGAGGAACGACAGCTTGGGCCCTGGATTTGTAGAGATGGAGTTCCAGTTTGACAGACAACGAAACTTCACCTCTATGAAGGTGAGAGTGGAGGAAGAGCTGTGGTGATTACAGTGAATGAAGTGTAATGAAGAATTGAATAAAGGAGGGTTTTTTTTTGGAGCCACTTTTCTAAGTTAATTAATCTTTGATTAGGCAAAAGTCCTCTAGTATTCGTGAAGATATCACACAAAATGAATTTTTTTAACTTAAAAAAAAAATTTCCTGATAATTTACTCACCCCCATGCAATCCAAAATGTCCACGTCTTTCTTTCTTCAGTCAAAAAGAAATTAAGGTTTTTGATGAAAAGGATTTTCTCCACTTCACTGGGTACCAAACGGTTTAAGGTCCAAATGAGAGTTTCAGTGCAGCTTTAAACGACACCAGACGATGAATAAGGGTCTTATCTAGCGAAACAATCGGCCATTTAAAAAATAAAAAAAAAAGTTTAAGTTTTATAAGCTCAAATGGTCGCCTTGCTCTGTTCTGTGATGAGCGTTCGTGACTCTCTTTCATCAACTCCTTCATCAAAATTAACAAATCTTTTTGGTTATTCGGTTCACAAATGGTTAATTTGAGCTTCTAAAACTTAAAATCTTATTTTTTGTAAGAATGGTGTCGTGTTAGCAGCCACAAGTAGAAAATTAATGATCATTCAATCAAAAATAACTTTAGCTGGACAATAACTTTATTCTAGAGCTGCTATAAAGCCAAAACAATCTGTTACTTTAATTTCCTATTATCACTGTAAAGCTGCTTTGAAACAAGCTATATTGTAAAAAGCGCTATATAAATGAAGGTGACTTAATCTTGAAGTAATGATTTTATATTAAATCTCATATGTTTATTGAAGCCTGATCACTTTGTTTTAGTTGCTTTGTATCTTTAAAGTCAGCATGAAATCAGAGTTGATCTTATTTACTTCAGATTTACACAACCATCCAAAAGTTTGGGGTGAGTACATTTATGTAATGTTTTTGAAAGAAGTCTCATATGCTGCGTTTGTACAGTAAGCATGGTACATTTTCTTTCGGGATTCTTTGATGAGTAGAAAGAAGATTGTCCACAAGCGTCTGGAAACTGAAAATAATGTCCACTTTTCATTATATCCCTTTATGAAAGAGAAATGAGTTATAAATGTCACTTGCGTTTGACTTTAACCTCTATGTATAGTGAACACGGAAAGGCTTCAGATGTTATCTATCCTCTCTTTAACAGGTTCACAGTAATAACATGTTCTCTCGGGGTGTGAAGATCTTCGCATCCGTGTCCTGCGCTTTTAAACTGCATCTCATTTCTGAGTGGGAAGCAGAGCCGGTGGAGTTTCACACCGTTCTAGACGACAGGAACCCAAGCGCCCGTTACGTGACCGTCCCGTTAAAGCACAGGTCGGCCACGGCTCTGCGCTGCCGCTTCTACTTTGCTGACACTTGGATGATGTTCAGCGAGATCTCATTTCAGTCTGGTATGAAATAAGAACAGCTCACCTCTGGTATTCCCAGTATTTCCTCATTAAAATTCAGCCAGAACTGTGAAATGCTTTTCATATCATCATTCCCAATTTATTAATTTCCACTTACACCGTCGTTCAAAAATTTGGGGTCAGTGAGATATTTTTTGCACCAAGGCTGTATTTATTTGATCAAAAATACAGCAAAAAATAGTAAATATTATTACAAAATGAAAAAAAAAAATTTCTGTTTGAATATATTTTAAAATGTAATTTATAAAAGCTGAATTTTCAGCATCATTACTTTCGTCTTCTGTTTCACATGATCCTTCAGAAATTATTCATACTGATTTGCTGTTTATATTAATTATTATTAATGTTAAAAACAGTCCTGTTTACTGTAATATTTTGGTGGAAATCATGATACATGGTTTCTTTGTAAAATAGAAAGTATTTAAGCATTATCAATGTCTTTACTGCCCATTTTATTCACTTTAATGCATCCTTGCTGAATAAAAGTATTAATCAAAAGCATCTTATTGGAAATGCATGCATCACTCACAGTGAGACCAATTACTTAAGTCACATTTAGAGTTATAAATGTATTTTAAAGTGGGTGTAAGTTGAGGTTTAGTGATTTCCTGTGTTTGAACTATTTTCCATTGCAGCAACTAATGTGCTTCCTACCCAGAGGCCTCCAGTTTTGACCCCCCCTTCATATGAAGTTAACAGCAAAGTATCAGAAACTACTCAGATAACAGGTAAGGCTGTGTTTCTATTGTCAAAATGAAACAAAATTTCACACATTTACTTTCTTAATACGAAAATTGAATGTCTGTTCAACCAAATCACGTAGAGACTGTTTTTCATGATCCAGTCATGTTTCCGATGAATACAAATGGAGGAAATGTGTCACATTATGGAAGTAAAATGGGTTGCGTACACCATTTCCTGTTGACTTTAAATAAATCCACCTGACTACTGTACTAACTTGCGTTCTACCCACTTCAGTTGAACTTTAATAAACCGTCTGTGTTTGACAGAGGACCGGACGACGCCCTCAAAGACGGGCTCTCCTGAAGAGGGCAGTACGTCGATTCTGATTGGCTGTTTGGTGACTATTATTCTCCTGCTGGTGGTGATCATCTTCCTGATTCTGTGGTGCCAATATGTGTGCAAAGTCCTGGAGAAGGTGTGTGTGTGTTTGTATTTCTGCTTAACAATACATGTGATATTTGAGGAGTGTAGAGTTCCTTGGTCTACCTTACTCATAGCTGAATTTCAAGATGTGTCTGAGAAGTTGTGACCCCCCCCCATGTTTTCTAGGGAATATAAGTAGCATATTTGTATCCCCTATTACAAAGTTACTTGCATAAAGCATGCAAACCATGAGTTTGCGCCGAATGAGAGAGGCACGGGAGCCCAGTTTTATTTGTATAGCGCATTTCCCACACAACAGTAGTTCAATAAAATGCTTTAAGTAAACGTGTTTGCTTGGTGTTGGGTATAAATGTTGTTTATAATGAATGCCATTATAATTTGCCTGTTCTTTTCTGAATACCATTACATTTAAAGGATTTGTTGTGATGGAAATTTAAAGACATATTTTAAGTGTTTATTATTTGTTAATGTTTTATTTATTTACCTGTATTTTTCCCCCTCTTTTTTTATTTGCATTTCTTAATTTACACAATGAACAAACAAACAAACAACTAGTAGGGTGCTACAAATACAGGTCTTCCATTTGTTTCATACATTTAAATGAGTTACATAGCAAGTCCATTTCCACCATCGTGTTTTACATTTATGTGCTTCCAGTCTCAGCTCGTGGGTCATTTTTTCCATTGCGCATATTTCCTCCATGATATTCCTCCATTGGTCCAGATTCAAAGGATCACTTTTTAACTAATTCTATTTACCTGTATTTTACATTATTTCTGGATGTAATAATAAAACATGACTTTTTTTTCTCTCTCAACAATGCAATTGACCCACGCCCTCAAACGCGATGAGCCATTCACAGTGCGCAGCTTCCATGTCCATCGAAATGCATTGCAGTTAGTCAGTTTTCATTCATTTTTTCTTGTCATTTTAAGTTTAAAATGGTCAAACGGTGTGCATACAGATCCGACACTAGGTTCCCGAGAGGCTGGGCGACGGACGGTGTGTGTTTTTTCACCCTTTCCCAACCCAGATAGCAAACTGACATTGAATCAACGTGGAAACGACGTCTCTCATGACATTGAAACAACGTTGATTTGCTCATCGAATTAACGTTGAACCAACGTCAGACGCGGCATTCTTCAAAGCTAAATGAAATCGAAAATTGGTTTGCTTTCATAACGTTGAAACAACGCGTTGATTTCAAGTTGATTTTCCGTTAGTTTTGAAAGAATGACGCATCTGACGTTGGTTCAACGTTAATTCGATGAGCAAAACAATGTCAAATCAACGTTGTTTCGATGTCATATTTCCACGTTGATTCAATGTCAGTCTGCTATCTGGGAAGCCACATCTCAACCGAGATAAGTGTCTGCTCTGGATTAAGTTATGCGACACAACACCAACTAAACGTGGATAAATTAAACAAGGATGTCTGCATCTGTTCTAAGTTAAGTCAACAACATATTTGAACGTTATCTTGAAAATCTCTAACGTTAGCCTAACATTAGACAACGCTAATGCGTTAGCTTCTAGCTGCGTTGTAAGCTTCATTAACGGATCAGTAAATAACCGAGATAACAAACGTTAACAATGTTGTGCTGAATGATTCATGTAAATACTGTAGCACCAACGTGGTTTATCACGTTTACACTGTGACCTGTAACATTTTTGCCTGGAGCTGAACCTTTTCATCGACCTTCTCAACAATAAAATTATTAATATAACCCTCTAATGCATTGTTAAGGCCCTTTAGGTGACTTCGAGATGATGTATAATCTTTCTGTCTCCAAAAATCACCAATTGCCTCCTGTGAAATGTCTCCCACTGTGACAGCTACCCGAATGTGAGTGGAGGGGGCGTGGCTTAGCCATAGGTCACCCTGTGCGACTTTAATTTGGGAAAATATGATGACACAGAAAGTCTCTCTCTCTTAGGCTCCAAGGCGTATTTTGGAGGAGGAGGTGACGGTGCGTTTGTCCTCTAGCAGTGACACTATAATCCTGCAGACTCCCCCGGTGCCCCCGCGCGTCTCCCTCGACCCCCCCTACGAGAGGATCTTCCTTCTGGACCCCCAGTATCAGGATCCCGCTGCGCTCAGGAACAAACTTCCAGAGCTGTCTCAAAGCGCAGAGGCTTCTGGTACGATCCATTAAACCCAAACACACACTCTAGCTCTGTCTCAAACACTATTGTTCATCAGTGAACAGGATACTGATCACTTAAATCATTGGGAATTATGTAATTATTTATGTAAATTGTGTAAGGAAGGCACAATATACTAAAACTATTGCCTTAAAGGATTAGTTCACTTTTGAAAAAACTTTTGCTGATAATTTACTGACCCCCATGTCATCCAAGATGTCCATGTCTTTCTTTCCTCAGTCGAAAAGAAATTTAGGTTTTTGATGAAAACATTCCAGGATTTTTCTCCATATAATGGACTTCAATGGGAACCGGATGGTTCAAGGTCCAAAAGACGGTTAATAACAGTTTCAGATGCAGCTTCAAATGTCTTTAAACGATATCAGACGATGAATAAGGGTCTTATCATGCGAAACGATCGGTTATTTCAAAACTTATTCCAAAAATGTAACTTTTCTAAGGACAATTGCTAGCCTAGCTCTATTCTCTGAGGCGCGTTTGTAACGTCACGTAATACGTAATTACTTTCAAAAGGTCACGGGCGACGTGGCCGGAAGTACAGAATCAAAATCGTTCGACATCATTGTTTTACCTTTTAATTCCTTTTTTTGTAAACGGTGTTTGAGCTAGTTTGCACGTTCAACCTATGCGTTCAACTTGTAAACACTGACTCTGTACTTCCGGCTACGTCGCCCGTGACCTTTTGAACGTAATTACGTATTACGTGACGTTACAAACGCGCCTCAGAGAATAGAGCTAGGCTAGCATTTGTCCTTAGAAAAGTTACATTTTTGGAATAAGCTTTGAAATAACCGATCGTTTCACATGATAAGACCCTTATTCATCGTCTGGTGTCGTTTAAAGACATTTGAAGCTGCATCTGAAACTGTTATTAACCGTCTTTTGGACCTTGAACCATCCGGTTCCCATTGAAGTCCATTATATGGAGAAAAATCCTGGAATGTTTTCATCAAAAACCTAAATTTCTTTTCGACTGAGGAAAGAAAGACATGGATATCTTGGATGACATGGGGGTGAGTAAATTATCAGCAAACGTTTTTTAAAAAGTGAACTAATCCTTTAAGCCAAGGGATGTAAGTGTAATTTTACGTTTATTTGTGAAATAATCAGATGCTAATAAATAAACTTCTGTTAAAGATGACAGATTAAAGGGATACTTCAACTCTGGAAAGATGAATGGGTATTTAAAATGGGTCATTTATGTAGAAAAACTGTGAAGAAATGTTTTCTAGAGACTGAGAAAAGCCAGAAATTGTATTTTTGGCCTATGTAGATGAAAGACAACAACTCCCAGAATGCACTTTACTGCGCAGTCTGGGATTGTCTGGGATGCATGCAAATTTGGCCAAATATTATAAAACTATAAGCATAATTTTGTTGCCTAATGGTGCAGCCTTCATGTCAGGAGCTCAACTTTGAATCCTAAAAATAATGCCCAAATAGGTATCTTAGAAGGTTTTGGACCAGAGCTACTGTGAAGACTGAATAATATACCTCTCCATGTTGTCCTTTTTAAAACTAACCTCTCGTTCGTTCTATCTTTTACCCTTTTAAAATGAACTTGGTTTCGTTGACACTTGTTTCCTCGACATTTTGCATGCTGCCTGCCAATGCACTTTTCCCTTTCTTCCTCCTCTAGTCTTGCGTTCTTTAGCCTTTGCTCGCAGCCTATGACCTCCATCTGATCTTGTTACCAGACTGACGGACTTTGCAAGGGTAAGAATCGATGCTAGATTTTCTTTTGCTCCTTTTTTGACACCATGCAGTCTTGCACCCAGGTCACCTCAGTGTTCTGGTTGAAATAAAATGACTGAAGTTGACATTTTCCTCTCTTCTCATCTTCTGCTTTTTCTGTCTGTCTCTCTTCCTCTTTCTGTTATTGTCAACAAAGCTCGAGGGACATTATTGTCAGCATTTAAAATATTGCAAATCAATGATGAGAAAATAAATAGGGCGACATTAATAAAGAGATGCATGAAATGAAGGGAATGCCAAAATGCTAACACTTTACGATGAAGTTTAATTTGCTAATAATGACAAATACTTCTAAAGCATTTATTAAGGATAATGCAATTTTAACCCCTTAACGCCCACTGTCACAAATATGCTACAAACCGTTTGACTCAGTCAACCAGCCGAGATAACATCTGCATTCCCCCAATGCCGGTTAGTGCATACTCACTACGGACCTAGGACCTTCGACAAGCACTTGTTTCTAGTGGGACCGCAAAGTGACGGACTTATTTCCTGTTTACGTACGAGGATTACTCTGGTCAGGAACATTTGCAACATTTGCAACATACCAAATTGACCATTATGCTCGCTGTTGCAGATTTGCAACATACCAAAATTTTGATTTATTTGTTGTGCAAAAGTGAAATTGATAATCTCAACATTATTTACCATCTACTTAAAGGCAAAATCACACATAAAACATTTTTTTTTATATACAGCTATATAAATTCAGGCGTTAAGGGGTTAAAGGTGTCTAATTTTGTTTAAAATTGACTGCAAGTTGACTTCCTATTATGTCATCAGACCATACTTCAAATAAAAACCTCATCTCCTCATCTTTTTCGGATTTTTGGGAACCACCAGAACTTCCTGTAAAAGGTCTGAAAGTCCGAACATTACAGAAATGCTTTCACACTAGAAACAAACCAAACCTTTACCAAGCCAACTACCTCTTTTCGTCACATCAAATTTCATCTGTTTGGTCCAGACCGTGGTCCGGGGGGAGGTTTCACACCTGTAATTTTGATTCGGACCAAACTGAAAAGTCCGAAAGTCCATACCAAACAAGGCAAGTGTGAAAGGGCCCTTATTAGTGATACGATCAATAACGATGGCTTCGGTTTTACCAGATCAAGCCGAGTCCTTATCCTTTAGAAGTGAAGCAAAGTAGATTTGCTTTAGCGGCACAGAAAACAGAGTCTTCTTGATGTCGAAAACATGAACCAAACTCTCCCAGGCCTCAGATACAACTACATTGATCGAGGGTGCGTCAAAGCAGATGTTGTTCGTGGGCAGCCAATGAAGACCACAGGCTGGAATTATGCAAATATGTTAAAAACCTTTAGAAAACGGTTAGTTCCAATCCTTGATTGTGATTGGTCAATAGCTGTGCTTTAGTCACGATAAAACACGGCTGTGATCGTCTCTATTTATCACTGCGCAACACTGCAGTTCCTATGTTGTTTTTGATTTGAGCTTTCATGCATATTACACATTGTAACGTTGTTGCCGTTCACACTTTTAGTGATTTTACTTCATGAAAGTTGCACTAATACATTTTTTTTTACTTTAATATTTTTATTGTGTGGTAACCGACCGTTTTATAAAAGCATATATGTAAGTAATAAGGTACGAGAGGAAAGCACAGCCTCTCGTACCTTATTGCTTACGTATAGTTTTGTGTAGGAAGTAAGACTGGAATTATTGACGACTCGTTTTAGGCTCTTCAGAATCAGTTCTTTCATTTAGGGGACAATAATTCGATTTGTAAAAAAAAAAATTGACTGTTATTAGGCCGTGTGTTCCCTAAAGCGTTTTTCCACGCGCCTGGCTTATGTTTTATATTGTTTTCAATGGGAGCGCCGCGTTTTTTAAAGAGTAACTAAACACTTAACCAACTTTTTTTAGTAAATGATCTGTAAGAATGGCATTTTTTGGCATTTGTTTATAAAGTGTTCTATTTCTACAATATATGGTGTAAAAATGTCTTAGTGCTGCCCTCTTCAGGTTGAACGGTGGCTACTGCAGTTGAATTTTCCTATTGGATGTTTGCGGTAGTACGTGACAAAGCGGTTGTTGGTGACGTAGGCAAGTTCCATACAAATAGATGCGTCTCAGGTGCACGCCCCCCTCCGCTGGGCTCTGCCCACTTTTCCAGCATTTTTCAAATATTGCCAGTGGGTGGAGTCAGGCTCTGACCAGGGGTTTAGTTACCCTTTAAATGCCATGAGCTTAACGAGGCGCTAAACGCTTTTTTCACGCTGAAGCGCCGGGCGCCCCGCGTTTTTTTACTGGTCGCCGAGAGTTGAAAAATGTTCAACTTTGGATAAAACGCAGCGCTCATCACTGTCACTTCTTACCGAGCCATCCAATCACAGTGGAGGAGGGGCGGGACTAATACCACACCGACCAACTGTCACAACATTCTTTCTGTACAACGACATCAACCAACAGAGCCAACCGAACAAAATGGATGAAAAATAAATTTTTAGTCTGAAACAAATTGCGAAATCAGGTACAAGTAAACTGTGCTGCGGATATTCTGTATCATAGCAACGAAACGTCTCAACGGAAAAAACGCTGCGCTGCCAAAACGCTCTCAAGCGCCCTTCAGCAGACCGTCTGCCGTTTTCAGCTGGCTAAAAATACTTAAATGGACACACGGCCTTAATGTTATTTAATTCTTTAACTAAATGTTAAATAATGAAACCTTATTGTAAAGTGTTTCAATTAAAATAAAAACAGAAAACAATTGGTTGATTATATATAAATGACAATTCCTGACATGTTGACATCTCGTTCTCTCTGTAGCCTGTAGCGGAGGATACGCCGAGCCCGACGTTACCCTGTGCACCCCACACCAGGGTTTTCAGAGCAGCGTGCCGCACTACGCTGAAACTGACATCATTAGCCTGCAGGGCGTCACCGGCAGCAACATGTACGCCGTTCCCGCCCTCACCGTGGATTCCCTGACGCGGAAGGACATCTCGGTGGCCGAGTTCCCTCGAGAGAGACTGCTGTTCAGAGAGAAACTGGGAGAAGGCCAGTTTGGTGAGGTGAGTGTAGATGAACCACAGCAGGAGGTTTTATAGGAGGTCTCGTAGACTCACTTGTGGAGCCACTTGGATTGTCTTTTATAGTTAGCTGGAATCTTTTTGCACACTGTTTATGCTTTGTTTTATACAAACAGTGCTGCAAGGCCTAATGTTTGAGTGTTTCCCAGAAAACCTTGTTATTAGTGACCATGCATGACTGTAATGTATGGCTTTATTAAGAAATTCATTGGAAATCTACTGTAGTTTGAGAGGATTTTTTTTTTTTTTGAAGTGTTACTGATACTTTTTTGATACTGTAACTTATATTCTTCGATTAATCTTTTGTAACATATATGTCTTTACTGACACTTTTAATGCATCCTTGATAATATGAAGTATTTAAAATATTTTGACCCCAAACTTTTGAACGGTTCTGTATGTATGGGTACTGTGATTACTATGAGTATTTATATAGTATGGTTTTCCAATTTTTCACTAAATCAATCAAAATATAGCATGATATAATAGTACGTTATGGTATTTTTGTTGTTAGTGCAAGCGTGTTTTCATTCTCACGTTGTTTAAAGGAGTAGTTCACTTTTTAAAAAACTTTTGATGATAATTTACTCACCCCATGTCATCCAAGATGTCCACGTCTTTCTTTCTTCAGTCAAAAAGAAATTAAGGTTTTTGATGAAAACATTCCAGGATTTTCTCCATATAATGGACTTCAATGGGAACCAAACGGTTCAAGGTCCAAATGAGAGTTTCAGTGCAGCTTCAAAGGGCTTTAAACGACACCAGACGATGAATAAGGGTCTTATCAAGCGAAACGATTGGTCATTTCTAGAATAAAGAAAAAAGTTTAGGTTTTATAAGCTCAAATGTTCGCCTGTGATGAGCGTTCATGACTCTCCTGTTCAAACTCGTTCATCAAAATCTTTTTTCGAGACAAGACCCTTATTCATCGTCTGGTGTCGTTTAAAGCCCTTTGAAGCTGCACTGAACCTCTCATTTGGACCTTGAACTGTTTGGTTCCCATTGAAGTCCATTATATGGAGAAAATGCTGGAATGTTTTCATCAAAAACCTTAATTTCTTTTCGACTGAAGAAAGAAACACATGGACATCTTGGATGACATGGGGGTGAGTAAATTATCAGCAAAAGTTTTTTAAAAAGTGAACTACTCCTTTAAGTATGATGCTTCACATATGTTCATGCTCTTGTCTGCTGCCATTGCTGTTTTCAGGTACATTTGTGTGAGGCCGAGGGTTTGGCAGAGTTTCTGGGAGAGGGTGCACCGTTACCAGAGCAGGATGGCAGGCCAGTGTTGGTAGCAGTTAAACAACTCAGAGCGGACGCCACCAGCAATGCCAGGTTTGAAGAAAAAAAAACTAACATTTGATTGGAAAGTTGCATTATGGAGTGAGACTGCCTTAAAGGAGTAGTTCACTTTTAAAAAAAACTTTTGCCTATAATTTACTCACCCCCATGTCATCCAAGATGTCCACGTCTTTCTTTCTTCAGTTGAAAAGAAATTAAGGTTTTTGATGAAAACATTCCAGGATTTTTCTCCATATAATGGACTTCATTGGGAACCAAACGGTTCAAGGTCCAAATGAGAGTTTCAGTGCAGCTTCAAAGGGCTTTAAATGACACCAGACGATGAATAAGGGTCTTATCTAGGACCCTTCGAGTCAAGACTCGAAAAAAGATTTGTTCATTTTGATGAACGAGTTTGAACAGGAGAGTCACAAACACTCAAAGCAAGGTGAGCATTTGTGCTTATAAAACTTAAACTTTGTTATTTATTTATTAAATGAGCGATCGTTTTGCTTGATAAGACCCTTATTCATCATCTGGTGTCGTTTAAAGACCTTTGAACAGTTTGCACTGAAACTCTCATTTGGACCTTGAACCGTTTGGTTCCCAATGAAGTCCATTATATGGAGAAAAATCCTGGAATGTTTTCATCAAAATCCTTAAATTTCTTTTCGACTGAAGAAAGAAAGACATGGACATCTTGGATGACATGGGGGTAAGTAAATTATCAGCAAAAGTGTTTTTTTAAAGTGAACTACTCCTTTAAATCATTCAAGGAAGTAGTTATGAAGGTGCTTAAATGATTAGCATGTGTTGTGCTTGGTTGGAATAAAATTGATTGGGGCATGAATCAGCCAATCACATGGCAGCAACATACTCAAGACAAACTGTTGAAGTTAAAACTGAGCACGAGAATGAGGAAGAAATGTGATTTACTGTAGGTGACTGACTTTGAACATGGCATGGTTGTTGCCGCCAGACGGACTGGTCTGAGAATTTCAGAAACTGCTGATTTACAGGGAAATTCAACCGCCTCAAGGGTTTACAGAGAATTATCTGAAAAAAAGGAAATATCTAGTGAGTGGCAGTTCTGTGGGTGAAAATGCCTTGTTGATGCCAGAGGTCAGAGGAGAATGGGCCGACTGGTTCCAGCTGATAAAAAGGCAACATTAACTCAAATAACCACTTGTTACAAACGAGATCTGCAGAAGAGCATCTCTGAATGGATTGAACCTTGAAGCAGTCTGACTGTCAGCTTAGAACGCTTCTTGGCCTGATGAGTCTCGACATTCAGATGGTCGGGTCAGAATTTGGTGTAAACAACATGGGAGCATGTATTTATCCTACCTTGCATCAACAGTTCAGGTTGCTGGTGGTGTAATGGTGCATGGGATATATTCTTGGCACACTGGTTCTTTAGCACCAATTGAACATTGTTTATACACCACAGCCTACTTAAATATTGTTGCTGATCAAGTCCATCCCTTTATGACCACAGTGAACCCATTTTCAATCCAGATCTCAATCCAGTAGAGCAGCTTTAGGATGTGGAGGAATGGGAGATTCGCATCATGGACGTGCAGCCGACCAATCTCTGAGAAATGTTTCCAGCACCTTGTTAAAGGGTTAGTTCACCCAAAAATGAAAATTAAGTCATTAATAACTCACCCCCATGCTGTACCAACCCCGTAAGACCTTCGTTCGTCTTCGGAACACAAATGAAGATATTTTTGATTAAATTTGAGAGCTGTATAACTACCACATTGGCTCCTAAGGGACTGCCTCTTGACGGCCCAGAAAGTCATTGAAGAAAATGTTTAAATATCCCAAGTGACTACCGTGGCTCAACTATATGTTTATCAAGCGACGCGAATACTTTTTGTGCGAAAAAACAAACAAAAATAACGAGTTTATTCGACTATTTCTTTTCTTCCTTGTAGGCCAGAAACGAGATTTCCTTAGATTTCCACGACGCATGCGCGAGAATTGCTATCTGCTTACACTACTTCAGTTCAGTTCTCGCGCATGCGTCGTGGAAATCTAAGGAAATCTCGTTTCTGGCCTACAAGGAAGAAAAGAAATAGTCGAATAAACTCGTTATTTTTGTTTGTTTTTTCGCACAAAAAGTATTCGCGTCGCTTGATAAACATATAGTGAGCCACGGTAGTCACTTGGGATATTTAAACATTTTCTTCATTGACTTTCTGGGCCGTCAAGAGGCAGTCCCTTAGGAGCCAATGTGGTAGTTATACAGCTCTCAAATTTAATCAAAAATATCTTCATTTGTGTTCCGAAGACGAACGAAGGTCTTACGGGGTTGGTACAGCATGGGGGTGAGTAATTAATGACTTAATTTTCATTTTTGGGTGAACTAACCCTTTAAATTTGGGGGTTAAACCCGTGTACCTCTCCATAAAAATGTCTAAAATTGTTTCAGAATACACAGTCATCAGTAGGGTTGGGTATCGTTTGAATTTGAACGATTCTGATTCCGATTCCGTGATTCAATTCCGGTTCCTAAAGATTCTCGATTCCGATTCTTTAAAGAGGCAGGGTCAAAAAAGTTTAGCTAACCTTGCTAACCAACGGTCTTTCTGAAAGAAATACTCCTTCTGTCACAAATACTCCTTTTCTCACAAATCTTGCATTTTGCCGTGAAAAGTGAAGCCACACTTTGGACCGCCGACGTAAGCTACTCATGTTCGACTCGCGCGGTTATGCCAACACTTCTTCGTTGGTGTCGTTCAGCGGTTTCTTCTTCCGGTCGGCGGACTGTGAATATCGAAACTAGGAATCGAAATTTTAACTTTTGAACGATTCCGGGAAAAACGAAAAGTTAGTCCCGGTTCCAATCGATACTCGATTCTCGATACTCAACCCTAGTCATCAGTCATTTTCACTGTTCAATCTTATTTTCACATCAATATTTAGTGATGGATGCTTACCTTTTTTATCCTTTCACCCGATCCTATGATAACTTCTGACTTTTGTCTGTGTAGAAATGACTTCTTGAAGGAGATAAAGATCATGTCGCGTCTGAATAACCCGAACATCATTCAGCTGCTGTGCGTGTGCGTGAGCTCCGACCCGCTGTGCATGGTGACGGAGTACATGGAGAACGGAGACCTCAACATGTTCCTGTCCCAGAGAGAGCTGGAGAGCACACTCACACACGCCAACAACATTCCGTCTGTCAGGTGTGTGTCCATCATTATGAAGAACACTGACATGTACAGACTTTCATCTTTTAGTCAGGCTTAGCATTCTTAACCTTTGAATTCTTCAACTTAACCTAGTCAGCTCTCAGTTTATGATGGAAATGTTTCAGATTACAGGGTTAAAATGAAGCCAGGCTTTCACGTCAGACCTCTCAGTCTTCAAGTCATGATAATCACATATAAATAAGTCATTTCAATCTGTTACTTTTTGAAAACCTGAATTTAAAGGTAAAATCTTATTACGGGTACATTTTTTGTTGTTGTTGGAAAGAGATTTTTTTTTGTTTATTTTAAATCTCTTTAATAGTTTTTCTGGTTGGAACATCAAGTCAACAGATAATAACATTGAATTTTTGAAATTATCATTCCCCACTGTTAATACCCCATTGAAACCCTCCCTCACATAATCAAACCTACAGCTTACAAGCCAAATAACAAGACGAAACAAAAAATATTGCTACAGGTACAATTTTCATAATGATTTACTAGCCTCCGTTGTTTCACACCAGTGTTATTTTAGTATTTTTATTACTATTATTGTATTTATTCATATTTTGCCTTTTTATTTTAGTTTTATATTTTCAATTTTCATTTTAATTATAGTTTAAGTGTTATATTTCGATTTAGCTTTACTTTATTTTTTCAATTTGACAGTTCTTCAGTGGTTTTAGCACTTCAAATTAAAATTGTGTATTTTAGTTTGTTGCAAGGCAAATATTTTAATTCTAAGATTTATATTTAATTTAAGCTTTATTTTAAATAACGGCAGCCATACAACACAGTTAACTGAAAATACGTTTAACTGCTCTTTTCCATACTTTGAAATTGAATGTTCTGGGTACGTTTTCCTCCTAAAAGGTTTGTGTGTGTTGATGATACTGATTCAAAGTCATGTTTTTGTTCACATCCCTTTTATTTCTGTTTCTTTGCAGCATTGCTGACTTGTTGCACATGTCGGTGCAGATCTCTTCTGGGATGAAGTACTTGGCTTCTCTGAACTTTGTGCATCGTGATCTGGCCACACGGAACTGCCTCCTGGACCGCCATCTCACCATAAAGATCTCTGATTTTGGCATGAGCAGAAACTTGTACAGCAGCGATTACTATCGTATACAGGGGCGCGCTGTACTGCCCATACGCTGGATGGCCTGGGAGAGCATCCTACTGGTGAGGGAAAGACAAGCTGTTGATAAAAGCAAAGGTGCATGCGTGTACAGTACACTACCGTTAAAAAGTTTGAGGTCAGTAAGCTTATTACAGTGATTTTCTGAAGTAAAACTGACGCTTCATCTTTTGTGTGATGTACAATAAACTATAATAAAATAAAAAAAAAATCGGCCGATATATCGGAATATCGGATTTTAAAACCATCAAATATTTGTATCAGTATCGGCTTTCAAAATCCTTTATCGGTCAGGCTCTACATACAAGCAGATGACAAATACAGTACGTTATAATAACCGTAATTAAACTACTAAACTATACCTGTTCCATCTCTATACAGCACTCTGACTCTGTAGGCATTATTGTCCGACTGAAAAGGGGCATAATACGGGACCTTTGAGACATATTAAAATGATTTACAGTTGTTTTAAATTGTAAGGAGCATAAGAGACGTCTTTCAAAAACATGTAAAAAATCTTACCGAGCGCAAACTTTTAAGCGGTAGTGTGTGAATTGTTCCAAAGCTATTCACTTCAAAAAAAAAAACTTTTGCTGATAATTTACTCACCCCCATGTCATCCAAGATGTCCATGTCATTCTTGCTTCAGTCGAAAAGAAATTAAGGTTCTTGATGAAAACATTCCAGGATTTTTCTCCATATAATGGACTTCAATGGGAACCAAACGGTTCAAGGTCCAAATGAGAGTTTCAGTGCAGCTTCAAAGGGCTTTAAACGACACCAGACGATGAATAAGGGTCTTATCAAGCGAAACGATTGGTCATTTCAAAATGCGTGCCAAATCTTTTTTCGAATCATTTTGTTCATTTCGTTCGTTGATTGAACCAAATGACTCAAAAAAAGATTTGTTCATTTTGATGAACGAGCTTGAACATGAGAGTCACAAACGCTCATCACAGAACAGAGCGAGGCAACCATTTGTGCTTATAATACTTAAACTTTTTAATTTATTTTTTAAATGATCGATCGTTTCATTAGATAAGACCCTTATTCATCATCTGGAATCGTTTAAAGCCCTTTGAACAGTTTGCATTGAAACTCTCATTTGGACCTTGAACCGTTTGGTCCCCATTGAAGTCTATTATATGGAGAAAAATCCTGGAATGTTTTCATCAAAAACCTTAATTTCTTTTCGACTGAAGAAAGAAAGACGTGGACATCTTGGATGACATGGGGGTGAGTAAATTATCAACAAAAGTGTTTTTAAAAGTGAACTACTCCTTTAACTATTGGCTGGAGACATCCATCAGCAGCAGCTTTCTTTCTTTGTATCAGTGCATACGTGATACATGTGTGTGTTTTCTAGGGGAAGTTCACAACAGCTAGTGATGTGTGGGCTTTTGGAGTAACTCTGTGGGAGATTTTCACGTTATGTAAGGAGCAGCCCTACAGCCTGCTGTCTGATGAACAGGTCATCGAGAACACCGGCGAGTTCTTCAGGAACCAGGGGAGACAGGTACACACATGGCCTTTGATTTGGGTTGTGTTTTTGAGTGAGTGAATCCCAAATGAAGTGATTCATTTTTCCTGCAAACTACAGTGTTTGAATGAATGCACTGTTGCAGGATGAAAAGTACATTATTTCTTTGGAGGTTTTATCTAAATAGACTTCTGATCTACTTATTTTTCTCTCTAGATCTTTCTCTCCGGCCCACCACTCTGTCCATCCTCTCTGTTCGAGCTGATGATGCGCTGCTGGAGTCGTGACATCGTGGACCGGCCCTCTTTTAACAGATTGTATCAGGCCCTGCGAACTTTTGCGCCCCACTTATGACCGACACCTGCCCTACTGAAACAACCTGGAGGAGAACTGTTATATAACTGCTTGCCCGTCGGGGACGTAGAGCGCAAACGTGATAGCCACAATGTAGCGTCATTAGAGCATCAGAAATCCAATGGAGGGGAGATTTAAAGATGATGCGATTTCACAAAAGGCATTCCTTCATGCATTCATTCACTTACGTATATTCATCTCCATTGGGACTCAACGAGCTTTTTTCCAATCCATAGACACTTGAGATTTGTTTGTAGTTATCGTTGTTAATATTTCCTTTGAGTATCTCTTTTTTCTTTTCCTTAAAGGGATAGTTCACTTTGAAATTAATTTTCAAGGGCATCCAAGATGTAGGTGTCTTTGTTTCCGCAGTAGTTTCAATTTTGATATTTTTAGGTCAAACCGTTTGTGTCTATCAGTCATATAATGGAGGTCTATGGTCACCACCTCAAAGAGCATGCACAGAGAAGTCCAAATTAAACCTGATTTAATGACTCGTAAATGTAAGTACACAAAGACATGAAACGAGCGGTTTGTGTGAGAAAACTAACAGTATTTATATCGTTTTTACCTCTTGTTACCACAGCCACAAATGCCGCCCGCACCCTCAGATCACTTGAACATGGTAAAAACAATATAAATACTGTTTGTTTTCTCACACAAACCTTAGGCCATCAATGTGTACTTACATTTACAAATCATTAAAATCATGTTTAATTTGGACTTCTCTGTGCATGCTCTTTGAGGTGGTGACCATAGACCTCCATTATATGACTGACAGACAAGAACGGTTTGACCTAAAAATATCAAAATTGAAACTACTGCGGGAAACAAAGACACCTACATCTTGGATGCCCTTGAGGTAAGCTGAAACATACTAAAAATTAATTTCAAAGTGAACTATCCCTTTAAATGTTATTTCTGTTTGTTGTTTTCCCAGAAGAACAGTGACTCTTAAGCCTACTGTGTATTATAGGCAGAAAGAACCAACTGGACGAATGTCGTGTTTGTCAAATCTGTGGTCGTGTATCGTTAAGCACTGCTGTCTTTGGTTATTATTTCATTTTTGTCCTATTTTTGTTCCATATTTAACCCCACACTGGAGTTACTGTGTCTTGTTATGATATTAAGTGTTGTTTTGCTCTCTGAATATGAATGTTTTTACAGGTTCTTTGGATATAGCCGGGTCCGAGACTTGCTCTGCCTGGATCTAGCAGAACTACTGTTATAGTTAGATTGAAAAACCCTTTTCGGAGGAGAGAGGAGAGGGTTATAGAGCCAACAATGGACTGAAGTGCAATTTGATGCACTATTTCTTCCCCCAACTTGTAACAGGCCACTTTAAAGTCGACATGAAATCAGAATGGACTGCCTTTTCAAACACGTTTCTGGTCTCATTTGTGATTAATTCATCAGTGTTATTGTAATTTCGTCAACAAAAATGATAACTTTTTTTAAGAAGCATTTCAGTTTTGATGCACCAAAATTCTCTTGTCAAAATGTTCTTTTCACCTTCATTTTCTGCATTTAAGTGTCTAATTATAAGGGTAAAATGTGTTGTTAATGCCATTTCATGTTGGCTTTAAAATCCAGCAAAAGTGCACCATCACAGCCAGACTCAATTGTAAAGGCAAACACTACAACTCCGTGATATTGGCATACAATTGTCTGAGATATGATTTAAATCTGGCTGAGGTTGATGTACAGGACTGATAATATCAATACAATAGAGATCCATCCATTCGATCTCGGTAAAAGGCACATGGTTATAGGGGATTATGTTTGTAAGATTAAAAATATTCAAAGCACATTTTTCTTTCTCTCTTTTAACCCACTTTAGTGTTTTATACAATTTCTTTTGTCATTTAATGCTTTTAGTAAAGGTTTGTGAATGAGTGTCGCATCAAAACGATTTGGTGCACTACGATGTAATCAAAATCTATTATTTCTGTCTTTGTACTAGTCTCTACAGCATTCCTTTTTGTGTAGTTTGTGTTTACTGTATTTCAGAAATTGTCGTCAAATGTACAGGAGAAGTTTTACTGTTTGGCTGCTGAGGGGTTTGGCTATGCAGGACGATTGAAGAGTCCTCCGATAACACTGGGATTTCGGTTGAATGTTGGTGGTAGGAAAGCTAGGACGTGGTTTATTGACAAGGGCAACCACTAAAACTCAATTTCCCAGAAGCCTTTGCTGAAGTGAGCCTGAGGCAATTTCTGTTATAACTGATCAGAGGGGGTTTTTTTGTGCTTTTTTCTACATATTTAGAGACCAAGAATGCATGTCTGTGTGAATGCGTGACACTGAGAGTGTGGTTTTGTTTCAAGTGAAATTTAATTGACCTTCTTTTAGCATTTAGTACTCAATAATAGTCTTTCATTCAAACCTTTTAACTCTGTATGTGTCCTTCATGTACATTACATAAGCAGAGAAGATACTGTATGTATAGTAATATATTGGGGACTAAGACCTTTTTCTTTCATCTTCTTTCTTATTTTCCATAATAAACATCGATTTTGCTGTAACTGCAGTGTTTAGCGTGTTTTTACTTATCTAATAATCTGAATAGTATGATCTTATATTAGAATTATCAGTATTATTGCTATCATTATTATTTTAATGCTACCAATGTGACATTGAATGTTTGACTTTGGCTTGACTGTAGACTCGGTCACAAAGGAATAGATGATTTATTAATGTGTGTGTTGGGCCTAAGCGCCAACTAAAACGCCAGCTAAACCACCCTTAGCTAGTTGACTGGTTTTATCTGGTCTCCCAAGCTGGTTTTAGAAGAGTTTTTAGAAGACTTCTGGGTTTCCAACAGGGATGGTATTGTAAATACAATGGCATATTTTAAAACACCAACATTACTACTAACAAAACCACCCATAAAAAGTCACCAGTACCTTATCTAGATGGTAATAATGCCATGTTGCTTGATGGTATTAGCATCTGGTACCATAAATGTATCTATAAGGTGTAACTAGCTGTAAGTAGATGATTTAAGCTGGTGGTTTTAGTTGGTCTCCCATCTTGACCAGCTAAGATAAGCCTGGTCAGCTGAAGAAAAGTGTCCAAAACCAGGCCAACTAGCTTAGGTTGGTTTTAGCTGTTATTTTTCCCCAGAAGGGTTGTTGCTACCACAGTACAAAAAAGGGAGATAATTATGACCAAACGAGATGCATATAATCTAAATGCATATATATAATTATGTATCCAATCTCAAGCTTAAGTTTAAATATGTGAGAAGCGCGTGGGACTCATTATGATCTTTATAATACCCGATTGTGCGAGTAATCTATCATGCACACATGAGCGCGCGCAGCACTGCTGCTGTTACTAGAGAGATTCCAGGAGAGTCACGTGATCGCCAGTCAGGAAAGGAAGAATGAAGGGAGGAAAGCTGTATGCTGGCGCCCAATAACACACTCAGAAGGCAAGTTAAACAGCGATATATGCTCGAAATGACGCACAACCTTTCTTTTCATGAGTTTCTCTGTCTTTATAACTCGGCTTTAACAGCTTTACGCTAGTAACAAGGCTGCGTTTGATGGTTTGTCAAAGCAAACTCCTCGAGCTCAGCCGAGAATGACAAAGACTGTATTATAAGTCATGTTGACTTCATTTCCACATGTTTTGCTTATGGTGATTTCCTTTCTTGACTAGTGTAAGTGAGTTTGATAATGTTATATTAGCTTGTTTGCTGCGGATGTGGTCTGACCGTATATTTCTGCAGCTTTCTGATGCGCACTTGAAATGTAAATTAATGTGTAACTTACTGCATGTCACAGTTCATTTTTTTTTGAACGCACATTCATGGTATAAGACTGCTGTCTGGATTGCTAAAACTTTAGTTGTGGGCTGTATTAGCTAGTTGTATCATGAATAACTCTTTGTTTTTCCTGTGGCAGTACCGTAGATCAGTATCACTATCAGTATCAGATGGTAACCATGGTATTTTGATGCATGTTAACATGATATTAAATGCAACTTCCAACCATACCACGTACCATAGCATTATATATATATATTATATTATATATATATATATATATATATATATATATATATATATATATATATATATATATATGAAGAGTTCAGATGCAAAAGCCTCTAAATGCCATTTGAAATTTTCTTCTTTAATGATGATTTTTATCAAACTTGTATATTTAAGTTCAGTAATTTCACTTAAATAACAATTAGGCAATTATCATTGCCATTTAAGTGAAATTACTGAACTTAAATATACAAGTTTGATAAAAATGATCATTTTAGAAGAAAATTTCAAATGGCATTTAGAGGCTTTTGCTGAACTATAGCCAGCTGAACTATATATATATTGCTATGGTACATGGTATTTATCATAGTAAATGTCCAAACAGCTTTGTTTATTTTAGTATACAAAGGTACTTCAGAAAATACTTTTGTATGAACTGTATAAAATATATTTTGATAGTGGTTACATGGTAAAGTGATTGATTGTACCTGGCATATCAATGAAATATGGTTACTTCCATGGCTGGAAAAGGCAATGGAAGGCTTCCATGCCAATTTTGAGCGTGGCATGGTTGTTGGTGCCAGACGGGCCGGTCTGAGTATTTCACAATCTGCTCAGTTACTGGGATTTTCACGCACAACCATTTCTAGGGTTTACAAAGAATGGTGTGAAAAGGGAAAAACATCCAGTATGCGGCAGTCCTGTGGGCCAAAATGCCGTGTTGATGTTGATGCAGCTTGACTGATTCAAGCTGATAGAAGAGCAACTTTGACTGAAATAACCACTCGTTACAACCGAGGTATTCAGCAAAGCATTTGTGAAGCCACAACACACACAACCTTGAGGCGGATGGGCTACAACAGCAGAAGACCCCACCGGGTACCACTCATCTCCACTACAAATAGGAAAAAGATGCTACAATTTGCAAGAGCTCACCAAAATTGGACAGTTGTTGCCTGGTCTGATGAGTCTCGATTTCTGTTGAGACATTCAGAATTTGGCGTAAACAGAATGAGAAGATGGATCCATCATGCCTTGTTACCACTGTGCAGGCTGGTGGTGGTGGTGTAATGGTGTGCGGGATGTTTTCTTGGCACACTTTATTTCAGCACCTTGTTGAATCAATGCCACGTAGAATTAAGGCAGTTCTGAAGGTGAAAGGGGGTCAAGCACAGTATTAGTATGGTGTTCATAATAATCCTTTAGGTAAGTGTATATATGCGTGTGTGATTTTTTTTTACTTTTTTGTCGCATGGTTTTACCGCTAGGTCTGATTCATGTATATCTTAGTCACCCCAGACCCCACACAGACTTTTATTTATAGCACTTGTTTTTAAGAAAGAGGAATTTACTTGTTTTAAACAAGGTCAGACGTGTGAAGTCGAATGTTCCTGTATTTATGACACCTCGGTTGTTGACTTCAGTTGTTTTGTGGCTTTTTCTATATTTTTTAGAGCAGAAATGGGATGGAGATGTTCTACATGTGCTGGTGTTTTGATTGACGGTTGGAGACAGGCCAAAAGTGAAGGCGTCGCAGAAGAGCTTTCATAGAACGGTGAATTTAGATCTATTACCATCCAAAAGTTTGGGGTCAGTACACTGTTTTTAAAAAAATAAATGTATATTTTTTATTCAGCCAGGACGTGTTATATTGCATTAAATTAAAAAAGTGACAATAAAGATTTTTATAATGTTACTGAAAGTTTTTTTTTAACTCTTTTGAACTTTCTATCAATCAAAGAATTATGGGGGGGAAAAAACGTAGTGTGTTCCCACAAAATAAATATTTGGCACAAATGTTTTTGAATAAGTGAACACAAGGAGGGGAACACATATCAATTTATATGCAAGAATAAGACAAAATAAACAGCCATTTTTACCTATATATATATTTTTACGAAATTATTTTAACACATAAGAAATGTTGCACTTCATTGAACATTAAATGTTGACCTAAATTAATCTTTAAATCAGTTTAAAATTGAACTGAATCAAGTAATTGTTGCATCTGTTTACATTCATTGATTCAACTAATCAACAAAACTTAATCTTAACTCTTTATGCACATCTTTAAAATATTGGATATATTGGATTGGATATAAAATATTGCAAAACACAGTCTTTAAGAAAGCCAAATATTAGTGCATTGAAATCATTGTTTTATATTGACTGATAAATAATATGCAGAACAACTTTTTTATGAGAAGTAGAAAATTGGGTTATTAATTATTACAGTTAGGTTGGGTTACATATTATCATATTATCTATCTCCATTGTAAATGTAGTTTTTATTAATTTCTATTTCAGGGACAGGTGTCCTCGCCATCATGAAGTTGAATGAGAGGAGCGTGGCGCATTATGCCACATGCAACTCTCCTCCAGACAAGACAGGCTTCCTCTTTAAGAAAGGGGAACGGAACACGGCGTACCACCGCCGCTGGTTTATCCTGAAGGGCAACATGCTGTTCTACTTCGAGGAGAGGGAAAGTCGAGAGCCCATTGGCGTCATCGTCCTGGAAGGCTGTACGGTGGAGCTCTGCGAGTCCGAATCTGAAGAGTTCGCCTTCGCCGTCAAATTCGACTGCATCAAAGCGAGAGTGTACAAGATGGCTGCGGAGAGCCAGGCCGGGATGGAATCGTGGGTCAAGGCTCTGTCCCGAGCCAGTTTCGACTACATGCGCCTGGTTGTGAAGGAGCTGGAGAGGCAGCTGGAGGAGGTACGTGAAGCGAGAGCGTTACAAGCCAAAAGCAGGGCGAAGAAACAACAGGGGGTAGAAGCGGGCCCTCGAACCGCCACCCCGTCCCTACAGAACGCTGCCATAACGGGGCCTTCGCAGGAGGGGCTGTCTAGCAGAGAAAACGGGGTGACTTGGAGTAAACACACCAGTTTGGCAAACGGTGTCAGCGAGGGATGTGGCTGGGACGGGGACTGCAGCGCGCGGGCAAGTGGAGTCAGACCACCTCCGGTGCCTCCGCGGAGGAAGACCAACGGCGGGTCGCTCGAGAGCCCCGTTTCTCCCGGCACGAGCTGCTTCTCCAAACTACACGAGTGGTACGGCAAAGAGGTGGCTGAACTGAGAACGGAATGGCTGCAGAGTAAATGAATGAAGCTGGACATCTGCAAGAGACTCAACATGTGAGCAGCCGCACGCATACCAAACTTGCGATCATGGTTTAAAGGGACACTTCACCTAAAAATGTCAATTCTGTCTTTATTTGAAGAGTTCAGATGCAAAAGCCTCTAAGTGCCATTTGAAATTTTCTTCTAGAATGATCATTTTTATCAAGCTTGTATATTTAAGTTCAGTGATTTCACTTAAATGGCAATGATAATTACCTATTAATTGTTATTTAAGTGAAATTGCTGAACTTAAATATACAAGTTTGATAAAAATCATCATTAAAGAAGAAAATTTCAAATGGCATTTAGAGGTTTTTGCATCTGAACTCTTCATTTACTCGCCTTCATGTCTTTCCAAACCCGTAAGACTTTCGTTCATCTTCGAACACAAATGATGGTATTATTTTCCCTCCGTGGACAGCTACACAACTACCACTTTGACGCTTTAAAAAGTTTTAAATTAATGAATCCATATGAATTAAGCGGTTTAGTCCAAATTCGCTTTATATGATGAACATATTTAATTTAGGCTTTTATTCACATATAAACATTGATCAGCGAAGAGAACATGCGCGACAACAAACCTCATTGGTTCTCGCTGAAGCTCAAACGTGATGCGTAACACGAGAACGAACCTCATTGGTTCTCGCTGAAGCTCAAACGTGATGCGTAACACGAGAATGAACCTCATTGGTTCTCGCTGAAGCTCAAACGTGATGCGTAACACGAGAGTGAACCTCATTGGTTCTCGCTGAAGCTCAAACGTGATGCGTAACACGAGAATGAACCTCATTGGTTCTCGCTGAAGCTCAAACGTGATGCGTAACACGAGAATGAACCTCATTGGTTCTCGCTGAAGCTCAAACGTGATGCGTAACACGAGAATGAACCTCATTGGTTCTCGCTGAAGCTCAAACGTGATGCGTAACACGAGAATGAACCTCATTGGTTCTCGCTGAAGCTCAAACGTGATGCGTAACACGAGAATGAACCTCATTGGTTCTCGCTGAAGCTCAAACGTGATGCGTAACACGAGAATGAACCTCATTGGTTCTCCCTGAAGCTCAAACGTGATGCGTAACACGAGAACGAACCTCATTGGTTCTCGCTGAAGCTCAAACGTGATGCGTAACACGAGAATGAACCTCATTGGTTCTCGCTGAAGCTCAAACGTGATGCGTAACACGAGAATGAACCTCATTGGTTCTCGCTGAAGCTCAAACGTGATGCGTAACACGAGAATGAACCTCATTGGTTCTCGCTGAAGCTCAAACGTGATGCGTAACACGAGAACGAACCTCATTGGTTCTCAAACGTCAAGCGATCATGCTTGAACTTCCGCTTATCACAACTGTTGTGTGCATTAAATGTGTATATTATGTGAATAAAAGCCTAAATGAAAGTCTTACGGGTTTGGAACGAGACAAGGATTTTTGGGTGAACTATCCCTTTAAGACATAATAGGTCATTAATCTAAAAACAGAGAGAGCATCAAAATGAAAATCACTTTTCCATTGTTACTGGTAATTTTTACTATTATTATTTTTTTTATTAAACAAGACCAAGCCATTTTTTTTAAAGGAACATTTTGTCATTGTTTACTCACCCTCATGTCACATTCTGTCACAACTGTGGCAAAAATCAAATTAATTCATTTTTTTTTTAAATACAGCAAGTGACCAAAGTTGGGTAAAAATGTTTATTAATTATATGCACAAATATGACAAAATAAACCACAATATTTACCGATAATGCACTTTGAACTGTTGAGGGTTGACCTAAATTAATCTTTCAATCAATTCATCGGAACACACTTTAAACTCATTTTAACTTTATGCAATTTTTGCTTTTGAAGTTTAATTTAAAATCATCTTAAAGGAGTAGTTCACTTTTAAAAAAAACTTTTGCTGATAATTTACTCACCCCCATGTCATCCAAGATGTCCATGTCTTTCTTTCTTCAGTCGAAAAGAAATTAAGGTTTTTGATGAAAACATTCCAGGATTTTCTCCATATAATGGACTTCAATGGGAACCAAACGGTTCAAGGTCCAAATGAGAGTTTCAGTGCAGCTTCAAAGGGCTTTAAACGACACCAGACGATGAATAAGACCCTTGGAGTCATGACTCGAATAAAGATTTGTTCATTTTGAGGAACGAGTTCGAACAGGAGAGTCACGAACGCTCATCACAGAATAGAGCAAGGTGAGCATTTGTGCTTATAAAACAAACTTTTTTATGTATTTATTAAATGAGCGATCGTTTCGCTAGATAAGACCCTTATTCATCGTCTGGTGTCGTTTAAAGTCCTTTGAAGCTGCACTGAAACTCTCATTTGGACATTGAATCGTTTGGTTCCCAATGAAGTCCATTAAAAAGTCCGTCGACTGAAGAAAGAAAGACATGGATATTTTGGATGACGTGGGGGTGAGTAAATTATCAGCAAAAGTTTTTTTTTTAAAGTGAACTACTCCTTTAACATAATGTTCCTCACAAGTTTGTCTGTTTTTGAAGATTATCAGTGAAAAACACTTAATATGTGTTACTTTAAAAGAGCCAAACAACATTTGTTTGTGTTCATGAAAGCAAGAAAGCGATGTGGGTTTGGAAGGACATGAGAATGAGTAAATGATGACGGCGTTTTCTTTTTTTAGATGAACTGAAAAGTCTCTTAGCTTCATGTGGGGGTTTTCCTAGAAACTCATGTGGAAGTGGCTTGCCAATTCTTTTCATTTTTTTTGAAATGTATATATATATATATTTTAAATTGACGTCTTCTTTGTAGAACAACACTGTGAATCACTTTTCACAATGTTGGTCTTGATATAAAAAAAAATGAATAGCGGTACAATATCTGTGTTTTCAGAATCAAAATCATCTTGAATGTTAAATAGTACAGTGCCAAAGCTGGTCTATGGTCACTTGTCATCGTTTTTCAATATTATATGATCAAAAGCAAGTTAACCTTTTATTCTGCATTTTAGGATATCTACATTCGAACCTGCCAAAAACTGAATTGCCAAAATGATTTCTAAATATGTAAAGGTGTCTGAGACAATGGAGCTATCTAACTAGCCAGCTAACATGTAATCTCAGGACTCCGGTCAATAGATCTTTGAAGCAATGTTATTAATTGTTATGCTAAGCCTTGCTATACTTAATTATGTATTATCTTGCCAATTAGCATGTCAATGTTTTGCTTTGCCTTTTAAAACGGACCAATTATAGTCATTATACTGTGACCAACATTTAATTCATTATACATACAGCTCTTGAATTTATTTATGACTTTTTCAAAATGCATTTTTAATGGTACGAATTGAGTGCAATCCTGTAATCATATCATGGGGAGGTATTGTCTACGGTAACACTAATTAGGGTCCTTGACTGGCCAACCACAGTGCCTTCAGATTTCATGTAAAATAAAAATGGGAATTAAGAGATGAACATGGTTTTAATCCTAACGGCTTGTGTATTAACACGGTACTGCAATAGAATTTACTTATTGCTGAAGCTGTATTGCAATAAACAGGCACTGAAATTTCATTGGGTAAAATATTTCAATTTGAAGGAGAATTTTTTTTAAGGAATCAAATAAAGATGAGCATCAGGATAAAATGTGTATTTTATTTGTGTGTGTGTTTGTTTTTTTCTTCAAAATGTGAACTCGCACAATTTAACCACAAGGTGGCTCAGCATTGCTTTGTATTTATATTTTGTATTGGTGAGTAGTTCCATTTTCTGAAAGACTGAAGGGTTCATTCATTCACAGATCCAGTTTCTTTGCATTAGTTAGAAATGTATGGAGAACGCTTTGAATTTGTATTTGTTGGGTGGTTTCTAAAATTCAATGCTCTTGACTTTATTTGTACATTTCTCATCTTCAGCTATGCGCATAATAAAAATAAACCATGAAAAGTACACTTTGACATGCCCTTCATGGCCCTTTCAAGGACATGGAAGTAAAGATTAAGTTTCGAGGGCATTGCTACTACTGTGGAGCGTACTTTTTTTGTACTCTAAATTAAGATTTCGTTGCTTTTAACAACCGTAACAACCTGACAATTTCATATTTCTAGTAACACGCTTTTAATGGACAACACGTTTGTCAACGGAAACTACAAAATATATCATGTGAAGCCACAAGGAAAGCACTGAACCTGAAGCTGTTTTCAAAATAAAAGTCCCAAAGCGCTACTTTAAAGGGCCACTGAAGTGCCTTGAACCTAGAGCCGTTGGGCTCTGCTTGAACCGCTTGAAGAAACAGGATGAAAGGCCGGGACATATCGAACAGCTCCTCCCCCTTTTAAAATAGGGTTTTGTTTGTATCACAGAGCCATTGGTCTTGTTATTGCCGCAGTTTCTTCCTTATCTCTTATTGTTTCTCCTCATAATCTCTATCACTTTAAAATATAGCATTGTGAGTTAGCAGAATTCAAATGGGTCCTGTATGTTTTCTGGTCTGCACCAACTATTAGACTATGTGTGCGCTGCAGTGGTTCCAGTGACGCAAAGGTCCCTGTTCCCTAGTGCACTTGGTGTCATTTGTAGAAAATAGTAATGTGTGAACTGTCTATGGGTGTGAACAAGTGAAAAATTTTAGCCTAGGTTAGCTTCAATGTATTTATAATGTAGGGGCGGAGCTTCAGATTATAGAGAGCTTTTGATTGGACAGAAAAGCTGAAGTTCAGAGAGATGTCATCAAAATCAATTATCCATATCTTCGAAAGTTTTGAATGCTTATACCTTCTAAATGTAAAATTTATTTTAATTTAATGTAAAAAAAAACATTAAATTCCCCCCCTCCCCCTCCCCCCCCCCCCCCCCCCCCAAACAAAAAAAATCAATTTGATTTTATGGGGATTATAAATTAGGAGTAGACATGAGGTCAAAGTTGTCCAGTATGACCTATTTTTACAACATTGTTGTTTACAATTAGTCTACTACACATGCAATTTGTGTGAATATTAGAGTGGCTAGATGGCAGTATTTTAAAGTACTTAATTTGTGTGATATAAGATGTAATAATAATAATAATATATATAATAATAGCAGCCTATATGTGTGTACATAACTGTACATCTCTCTCTCTCTCTCTCTCATATATATATATATATATATATATACACATCGCATACATGTAATTTTGATTTGTATAATTATGTAATTATCATAATTTTAACTGTATTGTATTCTTTTTATTGTAGTTTTATATTAATTTTTATCACCCTAAGATGTTGATAAATCAAGAACTCTTAAATGTTTCTCAGAATAAACCATTTATATGCATGATGTCCGTGTTTTGAAATATCATGAATATTAGAGTGATGCAATTGTATGAGAAAGTTGCAAAAACTAACGTTACACGACTGGCTTTGCACACAAAATGGGGCTTTTATTTTGCCGGAAACTCAGTGTGTCTCGCCACATCAAGGATTGGTCGTCGCTTGTTGTCGCTGTGTCCATGAAAAGTTTGTGTGTGTGTGTTTTTTTTTTTCTTCCTGAAAGTTTACGCAGGACTGTTGTTGCGCGCATCCAACATGACAGAGAAAGTAACGGACACCACGGCTGGCAGGCAAGTCATGTTTAATCATTACTATAACTCTCTATTTGTAAGTTAAGATGTTTAATAGGGTTCTGCAAATGATTAACGGTTCGTGCTATATATTCTGACACTTTGGGCCAGAAGTTTCTTGGTCAGTGCAGATAACGCAGAACGTGAGAGTTTGAGTCGAGAGGAGGGGGGTCTCCCGTTTCTGTTCTCCGACAGTTATGACACCGCAGTAATCATTATGAAAGTTTAATACAACTCATGTATTGGCTATTGAGGTTATGCGATGCTATCTTCCCTTTCAAAATGTATTGCAAAGTTATAATGAACTTGACACGCGCAGAAGAAAGTTTAAAGGGATCACGCAGTTTCACAGCGCGTGCCTGGCTCGGTCCGAAAGATACGTGAATTACGTACAGATTCTCAGAATTTGCGTCATTTCGAACTGGCAATTAAAGAAAGCAGCGCAAAATTAGTACGATCATTTAACACGATTAAACTGCACGTGCTCATGCGTTCACACCCGCTTACAAGTTTCTTAATGACATCGAATTAAGTCCATGGATTACGTAATTTTTGTTACACAACATACATTATCATTACTAATTAATGTGGCACGAGCTCATTTCCATACTCATGCGAAACGGTCTCGTGTATTCAAATGTATATGGAATTAACACTGCTTTTACTTTAGTTATGATGCATTTTATTCATAATAACAATAATAATATGGCATGGTTATTTGCATATTAATGTGAAATCGGCTCGTGAACATGTGTATGCAAATGAGTTTATGCCAGATGTGGTTTTCATTATCTAGAACAAGCGACCGGAAATCCGGCCTGTACTTAAGTTTATTATGTATTTTTATTAATAATAATAATAATAATAATAATGTGCCATTTTCATTTGCATATACGTGTAAAATGGGCTCGTGTGTTTGCAAATGACTCCATGCTAGATATGCTTTCATCTTCCGGGCATCTGGATCAGTGTGTGATGTTTATGTCAGGCAGATGTTAAAGTCCTGCAGCTGAAATACAAATCATAATTTGTGAAGTATTTAGGTAGCAGTAGCATATTGAGTGTGTGACTAAGTGTATGTTGACTTGAGAATCTAAATTTGAGTTCCTTTACGGATATTTGGGGGCGTGAATGTTCTTGCAGTGGTGAAATGATGTTCAAGTGAAACGATTAGTCGCGATTAATCACATCAAAATTAATGTTTGTGTTTACATAATATATATGCGTGTGCACAGTGCGTAATTATTAAGTATATATAAATACACACACATGCATGTGTGAAAAATATTTAAGAAATATTTTAGGGCTGTGCAAAGATTAATTGCGATTAATCGCATCCAAAATAAAAGTTTGTGTTTACATAATATATGTGTGTGTGCTGTGTATTATTATTTTGTATATATAAATACATATGCATGCATGTATATATTTAAGAATTATTTGCATGTAAATACTGTATATATATATATATATATATACATAATCTATATTATATATAAATATAAATATTTTATATATGAATAACACATTTTCTTAAATATATACATGCATGTGTGTGTGTATATATATACATATACACAAAATAATTATACACAGCACACACAAATATATTATGTAATCACAAACTTTTATTTTGGATGCGATTAATCGCAATTAATCATTGCACAGCCCTAATAAATCTAAATATTTTATGTATAAATAACATATAAAACTGATTATTTAGTACTTTTTAATATTCATTTTAATGACTAGGGTCCAAAACTCACCGTTTGCCACACATGGCCTTTATTAACTTGCTGAAAAGATTTCTTACAGCCCACAAAACTGTATTTTGCATATACTTGTAACCTTGTGTCAGTGGAGCCATTTAACTTCCTTAAAAAGAGCTGATTGTGTCGAGCAGCAGATACATAAATAACCAAATTAACATCTATAATGTAATTTCTATAAAATGCTTATTAGTCTCGGATGGACTTTGGTGAGTGTTAAATATTTACCTTGGGTGTGATATTTGTAACATGCATTAGTTCAGTTGTGGTTTTCTGTGCGTCTCTCTGTGTATTATATTGAAACGAATTTCACACGGCTCAGAGCACATTCGAAAGCTTTTCAATGTATGAGTATATGAGTTGCGCTGATGGCAATATGTGTGTGTTCATGTATAGAACAGGGGATTCTGTTGCATCATCATGCGTTCGTCTCAAGCTGGAAGAATCCCCTGTTCCCACACTCGCTGGCCCCTGAACTCTTACCCAGGGAACAGTGTGTCTAGATGTGGCTGTGTGATATGGTAGCCTAAAAGCAACGTGCTACTTGTGCATGTGTGTGTGCAGACGTGTGTGTACATGCACTTCCTTTTGATCAACCTCCTTCAGGTTCTGCAGCCTCATAAAAGGGCACAAAGACATACTTTAATGTGTGTTTTCTGCCCCACCATCAGCGATTCTGGCTGGTTTTTGTGCATGCTAGTGTCAGGGAGGGATAGAACGACTATTGAATGGGCTTGTGCAAACAGGACCGGGGAGAATTACAAGGTTACATTGTATCTTGCTTGCGGTCGAGTCAAGAATGCTGTCATTGTGTGTTTGGAGACATGGAATATTTGTCTAGCAGATGCACAGACACCGTTGAGTGCCATTGAGGTGTTGATATGTGTTTTTCCTTATTTGAAGGTATACATTGGAATGACTCCCGCAAAGTGTGTATAATTAGTGCTCTGTGTTAACACACTCCTAGCACTGTTGGTCACATTGAAGAATTAGAGGTTTGTTTAAAAAAAATTGGTGCGTAACTTATATGGGAGTTTGTGCTATGAACCTCAACTTAATTTGAGCAATCAGAATTACAATTTTGACATGGTGGACGGTAAAACTTACATGGAAGGAGGATCCTGAGCCATATACGGACCAGGGGCCGGATCCATGAAAGTGTTTTCAAGATTCGTAGCCCTCAATCGGGTCATGGGGTCTATAAGAGATATCATCTCAGTGGAATAAGATTTTGTGACTTTTCATACATTATCTATCTATACACACACAAAAAACTGGGCTTGATTCTGAAGGTATGTACAAAAAAAATGTTTACACTTCTGGTCTTCGGGGTCAATATGACCCCACATTGAAATGAATGGGAAATGTGAAAAAACTAAATATATTTTTTTTCATGTGTCAAAAAAAAAAAAAAATCCGGCATAAATCTGAAATTTTTTACACAGAAATGAAACAGTACTAGAGTATAAATGCAATGTATCATAAAAAAGTAATATTTCATATCAAGCTAATGGTGTAGTTGAGTAATTGTGTGATGTATCGATTAGAGCCAGACCGATATATCGGCCGGCCGATATTATCGGCCGATATTAGGCATTTTCCATAATATCGGTATCGGCAGTTATAATGGCCGATAAATGAATATTTAAAAAATAAAATAAAAACGGACGAAACACGCTTCAATCATCTCTCCTTGGCCTGTTATATTGAAAATGTATGTTTTACAATTTGCAGTATGAAGTTATCTATTGCTAAATTATGGCTCATCATAGACTAGCTAACCACAAAGCTAGCTAATGCCACTATCATCAGTGGAAGACTGCTAACGTTAACATTAATGAGCTTGGAAACCATAATGAACTTTTTCTGCCTAAATAAAGTAATTATTACTGTATTTATAACAAGCATATGCATTGTAAAATGTACAGTACGTTATACTTGCGAGGAGTGAACATTTAGACATAGAGAAAAAGTATCAAACGTATCTTGTGCAGAAAAGTTAGCTCTTCTTTTACACGTGTGTGAAATCCAACAATATTTAATAAAAAAAAAATATCGGCCGATATATCGGAATATCGGATTTTAAAACCCCCAAATATTTGTATCGGTATCGGCCTTCAAAATCTTTTTATCGGTCGGGCTCTAGTATCGATACAAAAATACTTTATATCTCCAAAAACACAGCATTAATAAATAGTTGAGAAGTAAACAAAAAAAATTATATATTATTTGCATGATTAAAAATGTATATTTTTTGTACAATTACTCAATCAATTGTTGGGGTCTTACAGACCCCGGAGCCCAGAAGTGTAAACAGGAAATGAAGACCATTTGAAGGTTAAGAAATCCTCTCAAATATTTTGTTAAGAATGTTAAGTTGTTGAATACGAAATAATCTTAAAGTTATATTAGCCCATTTCGAATAGGCTGGCAATAGCAAGCTAGCTTTGAAAGCATAGGATCCCACCCTCCCTTCAGAGCGTCTCCAAAGCCACGCCTCCTTCAAAACACAAACACAGCAGAGTCTGCAAAGTTAAATAGAGTGCCGAAGTGATGACATCACTTTGTAGGACATCTCGGAAGCTAGCGGCGCATGGGTTCCCTCGGTCGAAAAGCAATGCATTTTCCCCATAGACTTTTGGAAAATCGCAAAAAATAAGATCTGTGTTTAACAAAGAGTTGTGACCCTTACACGTTTTGTCTAGCAATATAATCTTTACAAGTTAATCCAACATTTATACATTTTGAAGCCTATATAAAGATTTAAAAAAAACTCAAGCAGACACAATAAAGTGTAAAAAACCACAAGCAGGTTATAACTGTGTGTTCTATGTTATAGATCAAAACGTGAAAATATTTAGAGGCTTTGTTCACCACAGACCTTATTTCAGGCGATTTAGCAAAAACCCATTCAAAAATCCCATAGGCTTTAGAGCGAGGGAACCGGTAGTGCTAAAATGCTAACTCACTTCCGCGTTTTGGCCTACAGAGTGACGTCGTAACTTCGGCACTCTATTACCTCATGTCGTAAAGCACATAACATTACAATAATAATGCATATAAACCACTTACAGAGCTCTAGTTGTACCTCCTGACTGCTGCAGGTTAATTTCAGTGTTGATAAAACGCATAAATCAGAGTCTGAGGACTTCAAAAAACGTCACTGGTTGCCATCTTGTAATATTTTTATTTTATACGCAGCTTGGGGTTTGGCACTTTTGATTTGGGGCC